ATATTCAAAACACACTACTGCAACCACTTAGGGCAATATATGTATCTATGACCTATGACCTATCGAACACCTTTATGGCCGGGCTCATGGCGCTCCAAGTTTCAGTGAGCCTAAAATATCTCTAATTAATCAACGCAGCTTGATGAAAATTTGTACATGCATTCAGTAAGACATAACAGTGATATTTAGGCAGTGATAATTTTTTCAATTTCACTTTCCTTTGTGAGTTAAGCAGTCCTAAATTTGCAGTGGCCTAATATATATACTATCCTTCTGCACAGGCTTTCCCATATTACTAGAAGAAGAATATGAAAGCAAAAAAATAATCACAACATAAACTTTACTGTTAGGTCCTATTGAACATGTAAGCAAAGTTTCATCAAGATCAGTTCTTTAATTTGGGAGATATTTTAGGTTTACTTAAACTTGTAGATCTGCTGCATATCAGGCCATAAATGAGTCCAAGAGGTATTTATATCATATATATATATATATAAAAATAAAGCTGATATAAAATAAAAAGAAGTTAATTCTTACAACACTGAACACTTGCAGGAGTTTATTGTAAATGAATATATTTGTTATTTATTGGGTCATAATTGGTATCAATTTGAAATAATTATGCATGCCTAGACTGATAGAAGTCATCTATCAGTCATCTGACATGCTAATAAAAATAAAAAATCCCCATAAGCGCCCTCAGTAGCGTATTTCCAATAAATAGAAATTATTTACTTGTGTAAAGATTGGTTCAAATTTAAAGAACTTATGTGGGGAAGTTATTCAAGTTCTTTAAAGAGCTTAGCCAGTGTGCAGAAAGCAAAGGGCAAAAAGAACTTGAACTTTCCCACATAAGGTCTTTTAATCTGAACCAATCTGGACCTAAGTAAATAGGTACTGTCAAACGGGATAAAAAGGGATGGTTTTGAGCATTTTTTGTTAATAACTTCTTACCATGAAACATTTCTGAAACAAGTTTAGGCTCATTTTATAGCTCTTTGCGAGGGCTATCCAATGGCATCTTCAAAAAATTCCATATACTATTCATAAGGTGCCAGACGCAAAATAAAACAGTCTCGATTTACCCCTGGGAACAGGGTAATCCAGGACACTTGCAATAAAAGTTAATTTTAAAACGTTTGAAGCATGCAGAGTGTACTCATTCATTACTAACAGTACTCTGGAGTCCTCCTATTTCGTTGTAGATGATGTACATGTAAAATAAATGACATTTTCTGTGATTTTTACTTGTTTTCCCTTTATTGATATGATATTACCATATTCATTAATTACCGTATTATTTATGTGATATTACAGTATCCATGGACATGCCATTGAGCATTGACAATGACCTTGTCCACTGCAAGCTTCATATCAGCAGCCATGTATCATTTCTTCTGTATCTGTAAGCTTACAGGATGGTTTGTAATTTTGCTCAATTTTAATTGAGTCAAGTGATTTCACTATAATGAAAAAGATCATGAAAAACATACCTGAAACAGAAAATAATGTTTTAGTGACAACCATCATATGTTTTGAAGAAATAAATCAAGTTTAGGTCAATTACTTTTCATTCTATGATGCCCAGTGAACAATTCTATATATAGCATTCTATGTACAATTTTGTGACAACCGATGATGCACTAATTTTTCAATAAGTGAATTTTTTTTTCCCGAGCGAGGTAAATGTAATCTAAATTCTTTGTTGTTAATAAATTTTTTTGTTAACTGGAGCCTTTGCTAACTGAGGTTCTACTGTAAATGCATTTTTAAGGGTGTCCCTAATTACCCTGGGGTTGTCCCTTTTTACCCCGTCGCGCGGAAATGGTTGCCATTTTTTTTTTTGAATGAGATAGGCAAAATCTGTCAATTACGTTTTCAAGCCGACACCTGGGTGCAACTATTATGTAAGTAAAATTTTTTAATATGGTGAATATTTTTTTTGCTCCAGACCTTAGCAGAGGTACTTTTCCAAAATCGCACTTTTCACAATTTTTTTCAGCAATTTTTTAAAGATAGTAAACGTTTGATTTCTTGACTAGCTTTATACATAATAGATAGTAAAAATGTTGAAGTTTACGCCACTATTTTTAGTTTTGCAATATTTTGATTAGTTTAGCTGCTACAACATTTCTACGAAATGTGGGATGCGCGTCCCGATTTACCCCGCCTGTCCCTTTTTACCTCGTTTGACGGTATCTGTTATATATATAGAATATTGGCTTGACATCAGGAGGACAATAGGCCAGCAAAGAAACCTCATGAAAACATACCTGAAATAGAAAGGAATGTTTTAGAAACTACCATCATATGTTTTGGAGAAATAGAAACAAATCATAGTTTAAGTTAATTACTTTTCATTCTATGATACCTGGTGCACAATTCTATGTATGACATTCTGTGCACAATTTGGTGATGATCAATGATGCATTACTTTTTGATAAGTGAAATTTTTTGCTGAGCAAAGGTAAATGTAATCAAAATTCTTTGTTGTTAATAATTTTTTTTGTTAACTGGAGCCTTTGCTAACTTAGGTTAAACTGTAAATGCTTTTTAAGGGGGGTCCCTTATTACCCCATCGAGATGAAATGGCTGCCATTTTTTCTGGAATGAGATAGGCAAATTCCATCAATCGTGTTTTAAAGCCAACACCTGTGTGCAACTTTTATGTAAGTAAAACTTTTTAATAAAGCAAATATTTTTTTAAACCACACCTTAGTAGAGGTACTTTTCAAAATTGCACTTCTCACACTTTTTTCAGCAATTTTTAGAGATGGTAAATGTATGATTTCTTAATTTGCTTTATACATATTAGATACCGTAGTAAAAATGTTGAAATTTGCGCCACTATTTATTGGTTTGCATTATTGTGATTAGTTTAGCTGCTACAACATTTCTACGAAATGTGGGACACGTGTCCCGATTTACCCCGCCTGCCCCTTATTACCCCTTATGCCCCTGCCCCTTATTACCTGTTTGACAGTATGTATTTACTGTACTACGGTCAAGATCGGTTCTGATTTAAAGAACTTATTCTGGGAAGAGGTGCAAAAATCATACTTTAGCATGTTAATTGAAATTAAAGCAAACACAGAAATACCTTTCCACACTCGCACAATGGCATTGTGAATTGATGGTTTCATTTTTAATTCAGTTGAGATCGCTTTCAATTCATAAACGATTTCGATTTAGTTTGATTGCTTTCCACTCATAAGAAGACTTATGAGTGGAAAATGTGCTGAAACATTGTATTGTAAGTTTTTTCTAAAAATGTTCCCACAAAGTGGGGGATTGATACATCAAATTGCAAACTAACATTTTACTCTCTACCTAATTGTGCAAATGAATCACTACATGTCTACAACTGATGCCATTGATTTTGCATATATTTGGAAGTAAATTTTTTTTGTACTGTCGAACGGGGTAATAAGGGACAGTTTTGAGCATTTTTCATTAATAACTTCTCACCATGAAACATTTCATAAACAAGTTTGAGCTCATTTTAAATCTCTTTGTGAGGGCTATCATATGGCATATCTGAAAAATTCGATACTACATATGCTATTCACAAGGTGCCAGATGCAAAATAAAAGCATCCTGAATATCCCCTGGAAACGAAGTAATCTGGGACATGTGAAATAAAACTGAATTTTACAATGTTTGAAGTGTGCAGTGTGTACTCATCTATTACTAACAGTATTCTAAAGTCTTCCTCATTCATTGTAGATGCTGCTGATGTAAAATAAATGACATATCCTGTAATTTTTACTTGTTTTTACTTTATTGATGTGATATTACCATATCCATGGACATGCCATTGAGCATTAACAACAACCTTGTCCACTGCAAGCTTCATACCAGCAGCCATATAGCATTTCATTTGTATCTGTAAACTTACAGGATGGCTTGTAATTTTGCACCATTATAATTGGGTCAAGTGAATTCACTATAACAAAGAAAGATCGCAAAAACATGCGTACCTGAAACAGAAAGAAATATTTTAGTGACCAACATAATATTTTTTGGAGAAATAAATCATAGTTTAGGGTAATTACTTTTCATTCTATGTTGCCCGGTGCACTATTCTATCTATGACATTCTGTACACAATTTTGTGATGACCAATGATGCATTAATTTTTCATTAAGTGAAATTTATTTTGCTGAGTGAGGTAAATATAATCAAAATTTTTGTTGTTCATTGATTTTTCTTGTTAACTGGAGCCTTTGCCAATCAAGGTTCTACTGTAAATGTGTGTTTAAAGGTGTCCCATATTACCCCGTGGGGGGAGGGGTGTCCCTTATTACTCCATCTTGCAGAAGTGGCCACCATTTTTTTGGGATTGAGATACGCAAATTTTGTCAATCACACTTTTAAGCCAACACGGTCAACACCAGTGTGCAACTTTTATGTAAGGAAAACTTTTGAATGCGACATATTTTTTTTTCTACAAACCTCAGCATCTAGGTACTTTTAAAATCTCACTTTTCACACTTTTCTGCAGGGATTTTTTAGAGCTAGTAAATGTATGATTTCTTAACTTGCTTTATGCTGCATAGATAGTAAAAATGTTGAACTTTAGGCCACTATTTTTAGTTTTGCAGTAGTTTGATTAGTTTTGCAGTAGTTTGATTAGTTTAGCTGCTGTACAACATTTCTACAAAATGTGGGACGACTGTCCTGATTTATCCCGCCCGTCCCTTATTACCCTGTTAGACAGTATTGTTGGAAAATGTTCATTTTATATATTTTTCAAATTTCTTTACGCAAAAGCTAGAGCACGCACATACATGCAGTTTGCTGCCTTAGACGTGCCTTTTCAGCAGCTGCAAAATGAGCCAAGAAACGGAGAAGCCAAAATTTTCTATTTTCAACCAAGATGCTCCCCTTTAAACAATTTTCTGAAAATCTGCCTAAAAGAAACATTAACAGAAAATATTACCTTCACTGTGTTCTGTATATTGTACAAAGCCTCATGCTAAATGAATGTTCATTTTTTCCAGGACAAGATTTAGTGTGAGAATGTCCAGCTCCCCTCAAGAAGGGGACTGTGAGGACCGGTCCTACACTCCTCCCCTGCCTCCCAACGACTGTGCTCTCAACCCTCATAAACCTCAACCTGTAGAAAATGATCAACCACAGGATTCCCAGAAGCCATCCAGTTATGAATCAAATTTCAATGATCTTGATGTAAATGTAGTCTTAACTCAGGACAGTTCTGCTTCACATAATATTGAAGAACCTTTGATAAACCACCTGCAAAAATATTCGTTGCTTTCAACATCTAAAGAGAATACAGTTGGCATCAGTGAGTCTGTTTCTGTATGTGATGACACTGCCCAAACAAACAGCATAGATGTTTTAGACAATAGTTTCTCTACTTCTGATGAAATTTTCAATTCAATAGAAGAAAACAATGACCAGAATTTTAAAGACAAACTTGAAAAATGCAAGCCACCTTTAGGTAATGGCTTGTCACCTTCAGAAAATGAAAGTGCGGTGCACCAACTTGGTGATGATGTGACGCCTAATCTTGGCACTTGGAGCTATCCTAGCCATGGTGCAGGGCTGAATGGAGACACTCAACCACAGTCAGAGTTGAGCTCAAATTTGAGCACCTCTGCGATGGGACTCCCTGACACAGGCTACATACAGACTCCTTTAGATGACCCTCGATGCACCAAGGCCTTGGATACAGCAATGGCTGACTCTCCTGCATCGCCAACACCTTGCAGTGCAGATGATGCCCCTGATTCTACATTTCAGGGCTTTTCACCCACTGAACATCCTCATGGGACTTCAGACTCTGCCCGCAACATTGACAGTGTTTATGCTAAAGACAGAGATATCTATAATGGCCCAACTGATGTACAATGTTCAAGGACCGAAGATTATTCTGATTCACCTGCTTCTCCTCCAACATTCCTTGCAACCAAGCTCCCATCTCCTCGGCAGCAATGTGAAGACGACCCATCCCTCATACCTCCCCTGCTCTCAGTATCGTGCAGAACAGAAGATGAGGCTGGGTTTGAGGAGTGCAGAGACAGCCATTCTCCTTGCACTCCACCTTTGCCTCCTACACAACCTCCACCTCTTCCTCCGCCTCCTCTAACTCCTCCACCTCTACCTCTTTCACCTCCACCTCCTCCTTTGTCTCCACCCCCATCTAGCAGGTCTTCCCCCAAATCCCCCACTCAAACGTTTCTTTCACCGCCAGCAGCGGGCGAAAATTTAACCAAACCTAAAATCTGTGATCCTCCTGATTCTGATGAGTTCCAGAATTACCCTGGATGTCCAAGCCCCAACACTAATTCTACATTTCAGCGTAATCTGGATGACAAAATGGCAAGCCTACTATCAAAGTTTACGGAAAAGAATCAAAATGGTCCCAGTGAGGAGGATTCATTGCAAGCCTCATTGGAAGCAAAAGAATATGCCAACAAGACTTTAAATGCAAGCTCACCTCTTTCACCGGACCGTCCATTTCTGCCGCCTGTGTTCACTTCTTTCTTGCCTTCAAGTGGAGAGATTTTTTCTGCGGGTAGAGCCAGCAGTGGCTTGCTGAATAACAGTCCACCTTCTCCCTCGTCAACGTCAGACTCTTCAGACACCGATGATTCATTCACATACAGCAGAGTATCGTCTTCACAGACACATACAGCTGGGCACAGGGCTAAGAAAAAGAAAAGCTGGCGGAAGAGGAGTAAAAAGAGAACCGCGTCATCCCCATTCAATGAGGTGTCTATTGAGTGTCCCCCTTCTCCGACCCCGCAGTTTGGGTCCCCGGATTCTTCGCGGTCCCCTTCGCCTGCCCCGATGGCGAGAATGAGCGAGAAGAGGAAAATGCTTGATGGAACTACAGGCGACTTGCAGAGCAAGTGGCGGCGTAACGTCAACACCGTCCATGACGTCACGGAGAGTAGATCTGCTGCAGCTACTGCAGGGTCACTGCCTATACGGTTACAAGCTCCTCTGCCGTCATTGTGTATCAATACGTCCATTCCTCCACCTCTACCTCCCAACATCCCGCCACCTCCCATCCCTCCCCCACCTCCTCTTGCCATCACAGGAGCCCCCAGCCCCGCACATATATCGTCCACACACGACGGCTCCTTCCTGCCCTTACGAGTGGCTGACATACTCAGCCCCACGGGGTCGTGCCGCAGTGACATCATGAGCCCCACGAGAGGGGCTGACCTCATGAGCCCCATCATCCCTGTGCTGGGGGGCATGGTTACTAACTGCCGCCCCCCGGACGGCATGAGTCCGGTTGCCTCAGGCCGTGGCGACATAATGTCGCCTCCTCCTCAGTCGCCCCGCTACGGCAGCGTCATGTCACCGAGCCATACTCCCTCTGCCGCATATTTCCATTCACTGCCCTCTTCTTATAAGTTGAACTCTGCCCCAAACACCGGTGCTCCCCACGCCCCTTCTGGGGGGGATGGATCCAAGTACTCTGGTAGTGGCAATCACTCATCACACTCGAGTCACCATCATCACCATCACCACCACAGGAGCAGCAGATCCAACACCAGTAGTAACAGCCGTCGAGCTCGGTCACCCATGGACCTACCTGTACCCAAATGGAACTTAGATCCTATTTATACTCGTCCCAAAGTTCAAGGTAAAACGCCTCCTCACCAAAAAGAGCGTCCTGGTAAAACTCCACCTTACCAGCGAGAGAACAGTGTAATAAAAGAGAAGGAAATTATCTTACAGCCTGTTGAGCCGCGTCGAATTACCATACCTCCTTCGGCCGAGAAACTCCGCCGCTACAGCGAGGATAAGGAGCGCATCATGGACCGCGACAAGCGGCTCTCCATAGAGTCTTTGGACTCTCCCAAAAGCCGCGTTTTTGACGAGAACAGCAACGGTGGCAACTCTCGAACAGGTGTCCTAGAAAGGTCGAATTCCGCGAGCAGTCAAAGTTTAGTGAGTAAAATTGACTCGGAATCCGAGAGTGTAGCCATTGAAACTGATGCAGAAACTGACTCAAAGGCTCAAGCAACTGCGCGATCACGAACGAGCGGTGACGCTGGGCCCAAGTTGGATTTTCAGGACGAAGTCTTGGGAGAGCTGGGGGAGTTTGCTGCTGCGGGTGACACTTCAATATACACCGGGCCTGAGCTCGAGGAAGTGGTTGAAAAAGCTGTCCCTTCTGGTGGGATAAAAGAGGAAGAAATGAACTTGCTCTCGTCCACTAAAAGTAGGAGTAAACTGCCCACATCTTCGAAGAGAGCGGAAAGAGAGCCACCGAATAATACGTCTAACACCTCCATAGACGTAAGCTTCGATAAAATGGAAATAATGGCCGAGCCCGATAAAGATAGTGTGCGAATTGCCTGCATTGACACTGACGTCAAAGTCGCTGTCAAACTCGAATTCAAACCCGAAAAGGACGCGCTTGTCGAGTCCCTCGCATTGCCGCTGCCTGCAGCACCAAGTCGTGATGTTGATGCACCTATTGATGATAAACCTGTGATTAAAGTAGAGAGTGATTGCAAAACCGCGGGTAATGTAGAAACAGACAAGTCGGTGCTTAAGGGTAAAACTGAAGCTGAGCCTGTACTTAAAGTAGAAACTAACCATGTGAATGAAGTCGAAAACAAAAGTAAAATTGAAAGTAAAAATGATATTTTTGCTGAACCAAAGGAAGTTATTAAATCGCAGACCTCGAGCCACAGGAGCGACAAACATGACAAGTCGAGCCGACAAGACAAAAGCAAGAGCCATGGCAGCTCCTCGCACGAGAGCTCTCGCCGGCACCACAAGGACGGTCGGTCCAGCAGCAGTCGCCAGTGTTCGCGGTGCTACAAGAGGAGTAAAATCAAACGCTACAACTGCGGTGTTCAGTGTGTCCTAACTCCAGCATCTGATTCATTACCCGATGCCCAGAAACCCGTGGACATCAGTAAAGTGACGAGCAATGCAACGAGCGCTGAGACTAAGCGCAGTGCGTCACGACGCCCCAAAACGTTGCGTAAGGATCTCAAGTACGGGGACTTGATACACATCGAGACGTACCCTAACGGCGAGGCGTCTGTGTGCCATATGTACGAGGATGAGATGACGCACCTCACACCTCAGCAGCGGGAAGAAGCTGCCAGAGAGTTCCTCGAGGTCAGACTTTGTTTCATGTTTGAGATATACCTTAAAATCATAATATTCTATTATAAATTATCTGTGTGAAAAATTGTATATAAGAATTAATGGGAAATTTCCATTGTGATGGACATTGCCTGTTTAGGATAATTTATTGAAATAACACAATCAGTCTTGTGAGAACTGCATCGTTGTGTTGGATGAACGGTAACAGTAATAGCATTAAACTCGTTCTTAGATAACAACGGTAACTAAAAAGACCGTCTAAAAGAAGGCAACTAAAAAGACCGTCTAAAAGACGGTTACTTAAACCATCGTCTGAAAGACGGCAACTAAAACGACCGTCTGAAAAACTGTAACTAAAAAAGACCGTCTGAAAGACGGCAACTAAAAAAAACGTCTAAAAGACTGTTACTTAAACCAACCATCGTCTGAAAGACGGTAACTAAAAAGACCGTCTAAAAACGGTAACTAAACAGACTTTGTGACAGGTGGTGTTCGCGGAGGACAGCGCTGGGTACGCGGACCACGTGTGCGGGATCGTGCACGACTCGGCGCACTACATGCCCGACCTGCTCGACTACTTCAGCGAGCGCCACGCTAACCTCATCGTCAAGGCGGGCGTTATCGGCCATATTGGCCGCAACAGTGACCTCGAGACCTACACTATGCAAAAGTACAAGGAAGAGGTCTCTGACTAATTTATTGCTGTCCGATAATCTTAACTTGTTGTACAGTATCGAAAAATCGTTGGAATTTTTCTAGGATTAGGTACATTTCAGTCCTCCCTTGTTTGTTTTTCAACCTTTCAACTACCGTGGCGAAGTTGACTGCCTGTAAACCTCCTTGTTTGTTATGATTGTGTTTATATTGCGAAAAAGTGTGGATGACGTTATCAGATAATTATTGTATGTAGAAACATATTTCTTTTTTTATTTGCATTCACTACTTAAGATTACATGATTATAGGAATGACACATTATTCGCTCATCACATATAAAAAATGTACATTAAATGACACATTATTCGCTCATCACATATAATGTATGTACATTGAATGAAGGTGGTGTGTCGCAGGTGTATCGCGGGTACTGCGGTGGCACGTTCCGTGCTGGCCCGCTGCACCAGGTGAGCGTGGTGGGCACGGTGCATGAGGAGGTGGGGGGCTACTTCCCCCACTTCCTGAGCATGGTGGAGGAGAACCCCTTCCTGCGTCTGGCCATGCCCTGGGGGGAGCTGTCCTCCCTCTGTGGCTCCCCTCCACAGCAGAGCAACGACGGCCCTATTGTGTGGATCAGGCCTGGCGAGCAGCTTATTCCTACGGCAGAGCTGGGCAAGAGTCCTGCCAAGAGAAAGAGGTGAGAGCTGGCAAGAGTCCTGCCAAGAGAAAGAGGTGAGAGCTGGGCAAGAGTCCTGCCAAGAGAAAGAGGTGAGAGCTGGCAAGAGTCCTGCCAAGAGAAAGAGGTGAGAGTTGGCAGGAGTCCTGCCAAAAGAAAAAGGTGAGAGCTAGGCAAGAGCCCTGCCAAGAGAAAGAGGTGAGAGCTGGCAAGAGTCCTGCCAAGAGAAACGGGTGAGAGCTGGGCAAGAGTCCTGCCAAGAGTAACGGGTGAGAGCGGTCACTGTAACAGCGGTGTACACGTGTAAAAGTAACCACTTAGTCCTTTCCTTTAACTTGCTGAAGCACCATCTGCACGAGTTGTTCGTTAAAAAACACGTAGAAAAATATTTTAAACGCATAGAAGAGTTTAATTAATTTGGTAGGTCGTGAATTTTTCTCGATTATTTTTAGTGTATAGATTGAATAAAATTTCGATAGTCTTTCATTAACCTATAGGTACCTTAATTGTGTTGAATTTATTTGAAAAAGCCGAGTTATCACGGTAGCAATTCCAATTAATTTTGTGTGTTTAGTCTGCGGCTGTCGCCTGCTCTACTTCTGAAGAAGATGCTGCCTAATATGTCGCCGTAACTTACTGGTTGCGAAACAGAAGCAATATTATTGTTATGTTTATCATTGGTTGTATAACAGAAGCAATATTATTGTTATTCTTATTATTTATTATATAACAGAACTGGCATCAACGAGCTGCAGCGTCTACAGTACCTGCCACGTGCGAGCAACGCCCGCGAGATGTTGTTCGAGGACAGGACCAAGGCTCATGCCGACCACGTGGGGGCAGGGCTTTACCGCCGCACTACTGGTGCTGTCGGTCTGTTCAAATTACCAATGAATAGTTCACTTGAATTATAATGACTAATTCTCTTGATCGTGTCCACGCCATTCTGCTCATCTGATACTATTAGTTTTTTAACATTTTTTACCTTTTTTATTATTTTTTTTACAACTTCAGCGTGCTATTTATGAAAACCCATTGATTAAAATACGTCATTTCTATTTCATGCTCAATCATCCGATCATCTTTAAAAATAATAATTCGGTTTTAATAATGTACTGTAGAGATTTAAATAACCTAAGCTTTATGTGTTCCACATTTAGCTTCATACCTGATGGTTATTGACGCGAGTTTTCTTGAATTATTGTGACCGAATTTTGAACAAACGTGCATAGCTTTGCCTTGTTTGATTTTTGCTATGAGAACTCAGTCAGCAATTAAACAAGTCTTAACCCTGATAATGTCTAAGAATAAAATGAGAGAAGATTTATTATGAAGGTCGTAGTTTAAAAGTTTATGGCGTTGCAGGCATCCTGAAGGCGGTGCACTGCGGAGAATCTTACACACACAATAGAATTGTGAAGGACGTCGTGGCGTTCGATGCTCACGACTTCGATGAGGTCGTGGAGAAGCTGCAACTCGACCTGCACGAGCCTCCCACCTCGCAGGTAACGGACGCTTCCTTAACATTTGTCAGACTGCATTATTTTTCAACGTTACACTGTTAGAAAAAACGGCCCCACCGGCGTTCAAGTGGCCGGTCGTCCCGTGAAAATAAACTGTTTCGCCGTTTTTATCAGATGTTTTACGGACTTCTAGTGTTAAATTAGAATAAAAAATTTCTAACAGTGTATAATCATGCCGAGTTTGGGTGCAATTGTACCTATGCAATCTTGTATAGGTTAATTTCATGTCCCCAAGACCTGTGACGTCCCGTGTTGCGCCTCTTTATAGTATTTCTACAAAATAAAATTGTGACCCTGTTGATTTTTGATCAGCTATCCGAAAAATTATAAACTTTATTATTAGTAAATGCATGAATATAGTATGTTGAATTTTTTGTTGCTGTTGCGATGAAAGAATTCGTTACTGAGAGACGTTGTTGTTGCGCAGTGCGTTTTGTGGATCGAGGACGCGAAGCTGAACCAGCTGCGGCGGGAGGGCATCAGGTTCGCCAGGATCCAGCTGTGCGATAACGACATTTACTTCCTGCCTCGCAACATCATCCACCAGTTCCGCACCGTCACCGCCGTCTGCAGCGTTGGTCAGAACTCAGGCTCTTGTTAATTATGCTTCCAGTTATGATCAATTTCAGGAGCAAAATATTTTTTATGGCAATTTTGATATTTTATTCGTCGATCGCGTTCATTTTGGACTTGTTAATTATTGAAAAGTCGAAAATAATGTATGGATAGAACGGGTGCAATGCATGAACAATCGGCAATGCTCATATCTCCGAAAGCTCATATTTCTCGTGCCGCTATTTCTCATCAAGTTTGGAGTTTCAAGTTGTAATCCAGAATTGTCACCTTGCCATAAACTAAATCTGTCGGCTGCCAGCTGCCACCAGAGTAGCTGAGAGTTTAATGTGTTCTTTTGGCTCATTTGCTTTAATTTCTTCAAATAACAATAATTTGACTGTCATTTCTTCGCCGTATTGACGAGAAGCTTAATTGTGTCAGACACTAATATTTTTGCCAACAAATTGTATGCAATGCCAGAAACGATACATGGATTTTCAACGTTCAGTTTTCGTTTGTTGATTAAATATGGCGTACAAAATGGAAAATGGTGCTACTAACAATTCCTTTCATGAATTTATGCGAAAAGTTATTCAGCTGTAAATGATTTTCATGAATTTATTCAGATCATTATTGAACTGTATACGACAGAAAACTGACTTTAATATTATATGTTGGCAGCTTGGCACGTGCAGCTGAAGCAATACTACGTGGGTGAGCGCAGCAGCGATGCGCTGGAGGACGGCCTGGAGACTAAGATCGAGTACGGCCGCTTGGAGACCACGTCCCGGCCTGACGACGCGCAGGACGACGAGGTCGTCAAGAAGACGGAGCAGTTAACTGACGACATGGAAGGCTCTAAGGCAGAGCAACCTATCAAGAAAGATCTTAAGAGAAGCAGAAGCAAAGAATCTGCGACAGAAAGCAAAAACAATGACAGTAAAAAGACGTCAGAGAAGCGTGATGACAAGCCCGAAAGAAGAAAAGATCAAAGTAGTAGAGAGGAGAGCAGAGACAAGCATAAGCACCACAAGCATAAAAAAGAGAAGGATAGAGAACGCTCGAACAGAGATGGTGAGCGTTCGAGCAGGGACAGAGAGAGGTCTAAGGACCGAGATAAGAGTGATAAACTTAAAAAGAGAGAGAGAAGAGAAAGCTCCGTCGATATTGATAGAGTGAAAAAGAAATTAAAATTGGGTAATGACAGCCCTCGTCCACAAGACGGACCTGCTCCGGGCGATGCTGGAACAACGCTTACTGCGGCTACTGATCTAACGTCCTTGAAGCCCGAGACAGCAACTGAAGACAGTCGGAGCGCTACGGCCAACGTGGGCGCGACCACAACTGATACTACAACGTCTGACGTTGGTGACACGGTGACAGCTTCTGTCACGGGAACCACCGCTAGCATCTCACCTGCTGTTGGTGTCAGTGCAACTAACGCTGTTGGTACTAGTGGAATTATTCCTACTACAGTGAGCAGCGGCCCTAACGCTGCTCCTGCTAAGCCAAAAGTTCGCAAGTCGAGTCAGTGTCGGACGAACAACAGCAGCGTGGACTTGCTAGACTCCATCATGGCAGTGATGACACCTCGACCGCACAAGTGAAACTCAGCGCCATGTATCATCAATAGAATTCAACCACAGAAGTGAAATGCCGTGTAAAAGTGTGAGGTAACTTGGAAACATATTCCAAAAATTCAATGTTCCTCTTACTTGTGAAGTTTTCATGACGAATTCATTACGTGTTAATTATTCGCTTTGGTATGATTTCATAACTTTTCATTGCTTAATTCAATGGTTATAAAAGCGTCGATTCGTTGAGATGTACTCCTATAAATTCATACTGTGCATTAACCGAAAATTCCGTTAAATTCTTCGTTGACAATATCACTGGGTGAGTGTAAAACTCGAAGTTTCCCCCACTTATTTTCGTGGCAGCTAAACATGATGACAGTAAAGCGTGTATAAGGACACAATACTCTGTATGATCATTATTCTGATTTAAACATTAATTAACACGACCTGGCGATAACTCTCTATAAAATGAGTGTGATGTGTGTGTAAGCACCTAACAAAATTTTTCTCGGAAAGCAAAGGATTGCCCAAGTATAAAATGTTAAATTCACTTCATAAAGTTTATGATCGATATTAAACAGTTTTGCTTGTGATATCTCCCGCTGTATTGCTGGTTTGAGTGATCTCAGGGCTTCTTTAGTGTTTTCTGTATCTTTTCATCGTGAGTTACGCAAGAGATTGTAAGTTGTTGATCTAAATCTCTCTTATGAATGCCGTGCTTTGATTTTAAACAATATTTGATCGGTATAAATCTCGTTCTATAGAGCTCTTTTGTCACGTTAATGACAAGTTATCGGACTTACGGACTAATTTAAATGCACTGGATTCGTTCGTGGCCGCGTCTATCCGTAGCCATTGTAGCAATTAGTTTTTTGCTGCTTTGTATAGATTTATTAGATGTGAAGTTATCAGGTTTCGATTTTGTAAAGTTATCAGGCCGATTTAATGAAAGGAGTGCTTTTCAAGTGTTTCGATTTGAAATTTTACTAAATTTCTTGAGCCTTTCAATATGACGAGGGTGAGCCGATTATATTTGTGTCGTGTTTTGAACATTTCTCTAGTGAACAAACTGTACATTGCTTGCGTTTATTCTCAAGTTTTAGTTTGGAATGCAGCCATAGCCATTTATCGATGGCTTAGTATTACCTTGTTATGTTCTGGCCTTGTGCTGATTTGTTGAAATTACTTTTCTAGTTTTAATCTTTATTGCGTAATATTACGCTTAATATGGCATTTGATTCCATTGCATACCATTTCATGGAGTGAAGGAATATTTTAAATTAATAGTTACTGTTTAAATGTTGTGTGGCTTCTTATGATCTGTTATTGATTTGAATTTATTTCTTGGGCGCCTATAATTTCTTTTGTATTATCTTATTCATGCAGATGATTCCCGAAATTATGAAAATGGCTCGAATTATTCACGAATAATATTCCAAAAGGGTGAAACGTTCTGACCAAGGGACTGGATTTTCGCTTTTCTAAAGTGAATAATTACAGTCTGAAACTATGTTTCAGTAGTGAAGGGAGCGTTTTCAGAATTTGCTTGAGTGATATCGTCAGCTTCAGAAGCTGCACTTGTTCCTTGCATAGGCTCCTTTACCAGCGATCAAACTTGGGTGGCCTATCTTTTCTGTAGCATAGCAGGGCTGAGCGTGTACAAACGTGTGAATTTTAGCTTGTACTTATATAGTATAAGAAGTCTTCATCACTTCTTTTGTGTTCAGTTCATTTGGTACACGGTAATATACGGTTTACCTGGCTGAAGTGTCTTTCTATTGACCCTGTGGTGGTCTGGAAAGATAAAGCACCGACCCAGCCAGGAGTCACTTGTGTTGGCGTCCCAAGTCTATGTTTTGACAACCAAAGCGTGCGACACAATGAGCGCACTCGTCGTGTCCTTCAACATGACGAACAACATGTTAATGTGTACAAATTATGTAGAATATTGATAGGAGGACTCAGTCCCCCGAGCGTTGTCTCTTTGTTGCTATTTCGTACCTGTTGGGTTAATCTTAAACTGATTCTCGAGTATGGGCATTCTTAGCAGCCGCCATCTTGTACCGCCTGAGGCCATCGTATACATGTTATAAATGTGACTATCTTATTTCGAATCATCATGGACTCATGAATGTTATTTTTCTATTCTATTAAATTTAAGAATGGACTGTCAAGTATGAAATTTGTCGGCGTGGACGGCGTTTGAACCTCATCAATTGTCAATTTATCCGTATTCCGTACGTCGTATTCTAATTACTAAAATTATTCAGATTTAACTTTTGACTCGAAGGCATATTCTCACGCCTGTATTTTTCGACTGTTTCGTGAAAATGCCTCCTTTGGATCAAATAGTAATAAGTTAGTGTCGTTGTACGCAATATTGGGAATTTTTATTTGATTTAATATCTTTTTGCATTTCAGGCTATTTGCGTTCCGAAGGAAGCAAGTTTCGAGCACCGGTGCTCCTTGCCCTTCTCATTGCTGCTAATGTCTCTAGCGGGGCTCCTGTGCTTGAAAATTGTTTATCACGGTTGTATTTTTCCACGCGTCGAACACGAAGGATTTTTGTAAGCTGGCATCAATCATCTTAGCTTACAGTTGTGTACACCATACGCACGCGCACTATCATTCGCTTGTGTGGTTTAGCAGTGAATCATGTTTGATATCTGCTCCATTAATCAACCGATAATTCTATTGCATCGCTCGCTATAATCTTTGGTTGTTTTCCACTTATAAGGAAAATTATATTTAAATCGTCGAAATCTTTTATCATACGTAATGAAATAATACGCAATTGATTTACAATTTTCGGTTGGGCCGTTGAATTTGACCTAACTGAATCTTGACCAAAAAAAGGCATGTATTTCCGAAGACAATTTTACATTTGAATATTTTCTCCTGTCGAATTTTTCGTACATCGTAGTTACATTTTAGGATTTGATAATTAGATAGGCTGTGTTTCAGCTACATAAATTGAATATTTAAGGCCACATAGTTTCTGAAAATTGTATTCGTGACCACCGAAATTTATTATTTTTTGGTCGATTTCGTTTGTTCCATGGTTCTCGAAAAAGATTTTCTGTAAGTTTCGAACACTTGGCTTATCATAACATGTTATTTTGGTCTAGGGACTGATATTTATATGGTTAAGATGTTATTTCCTATTCCTAATGGCAGTGACGATCGTTGAGCATCTGTGAATGTGTACAAATTGTATCGAATAGGGAGTATATCCAAATACTAGGCTGGTTAACATGGAAATGGATCAACCTGAGTGTAAAGTAGAGACTAGTTTTATCACTAAAATTATGTAGGTAGTGCAATGCTAACTTAAGTAGCTGAGAGTTGGCTGCGCGATTACCAGTTCTTGAAGCACGAGTAACCTCGAGAAGGCGGAGCCTGAGTCGTGCCCTCATTGGCCCCGCCCTTCATCAAGTTTTATAGCGTTAAGATATGAATTGAATGACGTTGTTCCGTCTGACATGATTGTACAAATTTTCTTGTTTGTGTGTGTTTTCTTCGCTATTTTCTATCGTAACTCCTAACTCTTGTTTAACTATCACTGGACTGTTTGACATTGCGTGTGCACGCGTCTTCTTGCAGCTCAATCTCTCCATTTGTCTGTCTCTATTATTCGTCTGTGTCTCCTGTTTTATCTGTTCAAAATAACTCGCGTAAGGATGCTGCCTTCATTTTTTGCCACACGCTATTTTTTTGTTTTCTTTTGCAAATTATTCACTTGTGTTTCATTAGTTGATTGTATTGCCCAATTTGGGCGTACATCAGGAAGAAAAATCTAGAGAAGCTGAGATTTAATTATCAGTTTGCCATAAATTAAAACGGTATTGCCTAACTATAGAAATTATTTCAAATCTCCAAATGTAGTCTCATGTTCTATTAGTCATCATTTGTTGTTATATGTTTTGAGGACAGCTGGTTCTATCCACCCGTGTTTGTTCAGCCCACTCAATAATGAGCGTCTTAACTTATTTACTCTAGACTTTCATTTCTTTACCTGTAATTTTCAAATTTTATTTTGACATTGACTGTTTGATATGTAACACTTAACTATCAAGATCTCACTATAAACACCAGTATTTGCGGGTTCTCATTTTAGTTATTTTACGCCGGTTTGCCATGACCTCTAAAGTTGAAGTTTCGTGTGAGGAAACTGTAATATTTTTATTATTGAAAACGATTTTGGCCGGTTTGTTCGTTGGGGAACGTCGAAGCGCATCACGATTCAAGTCTCTCACCCGCAAAAACGCGCTTGACTCTCTTTGTTTGTCAGATATTTCTGCATTTTTGGAACGGTCTCGTTCGGGAACGTGTGCGTAAAATTTTAATATCTAATTCGAGCCTTAGAATGTAACCTTAAATTAATTAAATTACATAATAGGCATGAATTAATGAACGAATTTATAGCATAATGCGATTTCCAGAAAATTACACCGTAGCATTGTTATTTTTTGTGTTATTTGATTGATTGTGTTGCCTTCATTTGTGTGAGTTTGAGACCCACCCATGAACTGACGATACTTGATAACGAATTTTTTAATGCCTGGGCTTATTAATTTATGTTATTGTCATAATCACCGTTCGCCGAAGTAGGCTACGAAACTGAAGTTCAGTATTTCAGCCATTTAAGTTTTTTTCTTTCTTCAATGACAACAAATTGTACCCGCTGTTCGATTTACTGTCTTGCAAATGGCGGTCAGTTTAGGCTCCCAAGGATTGCCGACTATAAAATATCGACTACCTTAGTATGTTTGTTATATACTAAACTTCAACAGAAAATATTGATATTTTTGTCTGCGTTCAATTTTATTTTAGTTCAGGCTCGTTCGCCAATAATAATTGGTTTAATTGTTCAAGCGACCAGGTGATATGAACTTTATTAGCAGAACGTCATCGTTTGTTTTCATCTCGATTTTTCCTCATTTTGCGACTGTAAGCATTTTTATCAGATTGCCAATTTTCAGAGAAGGAACAGATTTCAATTTGTGTAAAGTTCAATCTCAACCATCATTTTATTCTTTGACATCAACATTCACTATAATTTCTCGGTTCGCGTGCCTGAAATTCTTTACCTGCTTACCACATAACTTGTCTTGTGTGAACATGTGGGATCATGAAAATATTATTGATTGTTTTGTACCTTTCGGTTAAGTAAATTCCTGATGCATGATCTGCAGCCGGTGTTATTCAAGTACAAGCAACGCGTGTCCCTGGGAGCCTTCTGCTCCTTCGCTATGCAAGTTGCGAGTCCACGTTTCTCATAAATTGTAGAGTATTTTTCTTCGTTTTGTCTGTGTGTACATAAATACAAATTACTTCCTGACAAAAACCTAGTTTTCTGCCCCAAGTGTGATTTTTGTTCGTCTAACGATAATAGAAGTGGCAGGGATATATTTGAAAATATTTTTGAGTGATATATCTGACGGCTGAATGTGTGGTAGCTTCCTAATATTATGGCTCCTGGTTTTTGCATGTCATCACCTAATTAAAATGTCAATCAGCGGGAAAATTAAATCAAAAGCTTTTTTTTTTCGTCTGAAAAACTTTCATAAAATATAAATATAAAATATAAAATATAAAATATAAACTCTGAGCCTCGCAGATGATTAAGCAGATTTGAAAGCTGATAAGATGATTTACACAGTGATATTCTTTGAAAAAATTACTTTATATGTAATGTATCAAATTTATTTTAAATGCTTCGTTTAAAAAGTTATTTTTATCTAATTTTCGAGTGAATTTTAAAATAACGTTTAGTCGCTTCCTTACCTAAAATTTTAAGCCAATTTTTAGATAAATTAAAAATTTTTGCCTATATTTTGGGCAGTGTCATTCTTGAATGACTTCTAATATCGTTTATGATTGGACGAAATATCCTGAGAATCTCCTTTTACACCAATAGGAGTTGCGTGTACTAGCGTCCATTTTGTTTACATTGCAAAGCTCGTACCGGGTATCGTTCTAGGACAACTGCTAGTTTCGATTTATTACTTGTAAGCTTGATTAACGATTTAAATATGAGCACGCCAAAAAATTCAGAAGGTGCTCCACAGCCTTCAAAAATAAGGAAAGTTGATACATCACTGGGTAAGTTCCTTACGGAGAGGAAAAATATTTCTCTTAAACTACCGGCAAGAACTATAGCTACCTTAGGCTTAGTAAATAGTAGTAGTAGACTTTACTTATAGAAGTTAAAAATGATGTCTTTCCCACTATAGAAACGCCATACGAGATACGACAAACTTTCTCACTCATTTTCTTCTAGAAGATTTTAAAAATATGATAAGCTGTTATAGGTACTAAAGAAGTTACTTAGGATTCAATAGGTATAGTGGTTTCAGTGTTTATTACTATTAGGCCGTTGCTAACTTAGCCAAGTCATTTTTTAAAACCATTTATGCCAGTCTTGTCACTTGTCAGACAGTCAGAACTCTCTTTGAATGGCCTGATGATTTATCTATAAGTTCTATTAAATTATATTAATGTTCTATGCTTCTATCATTGATTAATCACTGGATCCGGAACATCTTCTGAGGATGGTATTATTGCAGATTAACTACATCAAAAAAAAAGGGTGTTTTTTTTTTTTAATTATATGTTTTTTGGGGTGTAGATTACAAATCTGAAATCCATTTTTGGCGGTCGGCATCGGAAAACCGATTTTTTGCAATAATACCGATCACACGTAGCGCTCAACATCTTGAATGAAACTTACCCGTTGCACTGCAACGGGTAAAGAAGACGAAAATGTTACCCGTTGCACTGCAACGGGTAACATTTTCGTCTTCTTTGTCCATAAATCTGGAGATACATTGCCACATCGAAAGATCACAACCTAACGCCAACTCGCAGGTTGGGTTGGTTCGCCCAGGTTCCTTTTAGATCAAAATGCTATCTAAAAAAAGGAACTTGGCTGACTTAACCCAACCTAAGAGCTTTTTGTAAAATTTCGATGAACAATCCGACCCTTTTTATAAAGGTGAGTGGGTAACGTAAGTTACGTAACCCCCATGTTAGTAAATAAAGGTGAGTGGGTAACGTAAGTTACGTAACCCCCATGTTAGTAAGTCGCGAAAAAAATCGGTTTTCCGATGCCGACCGCCAAAAATGGATTTCAGATTCGTAATCTACACCCCAAAAAACATATAATTAAAAAAAAACACCCTTTTTTTTTGGATGTAGTTAATCTGCAATAATACCCTGAGGATTGCTTGAGTTGGGAGTCCTAGCCTCCTAGGGTTCTTAGTTAGCCTAACCTAAAGTCCAAATTGAGGCAGGATGATAACCCAATGATTGAGAGGTGGTTGTCTTATAAGTTATAGTAGGCAATTAGGCATTGCCATTAGTACCTAGCTAAGTATTAACCCTTTCCCAGGCAGACATAGAAATTTGATGAAATTGCAATAGGTATATGATGATTGTACAATTTGTACTTGAAAGTATGACCAATTCTAAGATATAGGGTAAACGCGGTATATTCCGACACATTAAGGACGTAGAAAAAAATGAATGGGGTAAACACGGTATATTCTGACACATTAATGACGCATTGAGAAATGAAAAACTAAAAAAAACCCTATGCGTTGCTCAAGTTCTGTTTGCTTTGCCTGACTCTCAAAACACCGCACGAGGCACCAGCAATGATGAAACGTCACAAAATGTTGCCATATTTATTTAAAAGCCTTTAGAATGCAAACCAACCAAATCCCTATATTCTGACACTGTGTGTGACTATATTTAGCACGTGGTGAGACGTATTCCGACCGCGCTTCAAATTGTACTGATACGTAATTCCGACGTCCACGTGTTCAAATTCCGATCGCTGTGTGAGCTGTATTGGAATACAACACGGCTTTGAATTAGAATACTATTGAAAATTAACAGTTATTAAGCTTTTAATTAAGAAACTTTTAATTTTTCCACACAGCTTGGAATGAGCTGTGTGTGTCCAATTCAAGTTGTGTCATAATTAGTTTTTATGTGTCTAAATCCATTTCTCAACTTAATCATCTATTAATTTATTTACCACTTGAAATCAGCAAATACAAGTATACTTAAAGGATTCCTAATATATTCACAGACGTATTTAAAAGTCTCAAACCATAATATTCTTTCTACACAAACAGTTTATCACTATTTGGTAGAGCAAGGTCAACTGTCAACTTTGACACATTTTTCGATGATCTCATTGGGTGGCATGCACCGTCTCTCTTTGGATCTCAACATTTTCCCGCTGGATGGCCCAGACCTAGTGTTTTGGCAGTAGTTTGACGCGCAAATGTATGACATCACCATTTCAACCATCAACGAATGCATGGAACTAAAACAAAGCTTAATATAAAGGAAACACTAGAGAGGTGTCGGAATTACCCACGATGTCGGAATATACCGCGTTTACCCTGGCTACAAAAAAAAGCTCTAAATCTGCGCAACTCGAGTTCTGTTTGCTTTACGTCACTCTCAAAACACCGCACTATGCGCCAACAACAATGAAACGTCACAAACTGTTGCCATATTTATATAAAAGCCTTTAGAATGCAAACCTACCCAATCCATATATTCCAACGCTGTGTGTGACTAAATTTGGCATTTTGTGAGATTAATTCTGGCTGTGCTTCAAGCTCTACTAATTCGTAATTCCAACCCTCTTGTGTTCGAATCCCAATTGCTGTGTGAGCTGTATTGGAATACAACACAGCTGGGAATTAGAACATTATTAAGTATTGAACACTACTTAATTAAGCTGTTAATTAAGAGCTATTAAGCTTTTAATTAGGAAAATTTTAATTTTTGCACACAGCTCGAAATGACTAATGAGCTGTGTGTGTCTAATTCCAAGCTGTGTCGGAATTAGTTTTTATGTGTCTAAAACCGTCTCTTAACTCAATCATCTATTAATTTATTTACCACTTGAAATCAGCAAATACAAGTATACCTAAAGGATTCCTAATATATTCACAGACTTATTTAAAAGTCTCAAACCATAATATTCTTTCTACATAAACAGTTTATCACTATTTGGTAGAGCAAGGTCTACTATCAACTTTGACACATTCTTCGATGTTCTCACTGGGTGACGTGCACTGTCTCTTTTTGGATCTTAACATTTGCCTGCCAGATGGCCCAGACCTAGTGTTTTGGCAATAGTATGGCGTGCAATAGTATGAGGTCACTATTTCAACCATCAACAAATGCGTGGAACTAAGACAAAGCTTAATATAAAGGAAAAAGTTGAAAAGTGTCAGAATTACCCACGATGTCGGAATATACGGCGTTTACCCTATTTACTCGTAAGCATTTTTTTTTTAAATTTCATCTATGAGTAGTAAATCACAATTAATGAAGTGATCATATATGGGGCCTTGCCGCATAGTGACAAAACGGAGATTTCTTAGAATCATTTCAATTTTAATTTTTTTCATTTACCCAAGATTTAAACCAATTTCTTACAATCTTATGTATGATAAGTCTGGTATCAATGATACCGGTACCTACTTTACTGGTCTACCTTTAGGACTCAAAAATGAATTTGAAGGAGAGTCTAAAATATTAACTATCTATGAACAAGTAAGAAATACCTACCCTGCTTATGGTCATGGATATTTCTTGTGAGCCCTTGCTATTTTGTAATCAAAATTAAATTATAACAGCATGTTTCTGTCCAATAAATTTTGAAAATTTACTGTGAAACTGACCTTTTACTCCTGTGATTTTCAGAAAATTTATCCCAATATTCCAGTTTGGCTTCCATTGAAATACTAGGAACTTTTATATTAATGCCAAATAAACCTGTTTATAAATTAGGTCCTTGACTGTGGTGGAGGTATAATTCACTTTTAAATATTGTAACTTCATGTTTCAGCAAACAATTTTCTTATAAGATGGAGTGAAAGTACAAATTAATTTCCATTTGCATGTAAATTTAAATTATAAGAAATTTATGTTTGTGCAAGGCATTTTTCCCCATAAAAACTTTCAAAAAAGAAATCAAAAGTTGATTTGAACTAAAATTGTTTCTGCTTATTGTTGGTGTCTAGTATTGCTGATCAGCCAAATTCCACTGTACAATTGTTGTGATAAGATTCAAGCAAATTTGAATGGTATGACTAGATCACAAAAATCATTATGCTTGCAAAATTACTCAGAAAAAATTTACTTTTTACAACCTGAAAATTGAACCCTGGATTTAAATTTCATTGATTTTAATGTTGTTCTTTTTCAGCAGACGACTCTTTCTCCCGAGAGTATGACGTGGCCACCCAGAAAGCCCTGGAAGACATTGACATTTGCCAAAATGAAATTGATCAGCTCATTGAAAAAGCCAGTGAGGAAATACTTAAGGTGGAACAGAAATACAATCAATTGAGAAAACCATTTTTTGAGAAGAGAAGTGACATTATCAAGAAAATCCCAAACTTTTGGGTCACATCTTTTGTGAACCATCCACTGATCTCCAATATTCTAGATGAAGAAGAGGAGGAATGCCTGCATCATCTCACCAAATTAGATGTTGAAGAATTTGATGATATAAAAAGTGGATACAGAATTAATTTCTATTTTGATACCAATCCTTACTTCAGCAATGATGTCCTCACCAAAGAATTTCATCTTGGTTCATCAGGTTTGTTGTGTTTATTATTTCATGTTTTGATTTGTGTTTATTGCTTGCAGCTTCTTGGCTTCTTGATACTTTTTAGGTTATATATATTCCTTATTCTATAGACTGATACTCAATTTTATTATTTTCCCCAAGCTTTTCTAGCTAGTTTTCTTAATGCAAAGATACCATATTCATGATTCTGCCTTTAATAATTGGCTAATATATATCTGCTGCTACAGGCGATCCGACCTCTCAATCAACAACTATCAATTGGAAAGAAGGTCATAATTTATTGAGCAAATTTGAGGAGCAGCTGCAGAAAAATGGGGGCAGTTCAGCAAGCTCCAGCAGAGGCAAGAAGAGGCCTCTGGAGACCCGCTCCTTCTTCAGGTGGTTTACAGACCATGGCGATCCTTCCTCTGACGACATTGCTGAGGTAAGAAGATGTAACCTAAAGATTAGTTTTTTTTAATGGTTGTTCTGCTCTGATTTCATCACCTGATACAGCCGTTGTTTCGCTCTGCTCAGCTGATGCAGACAGTTCTCAGGATTGCTTTCACTAGGTATTCGATAGCCAACCATTCTTTGCATTTTTTGAGATATTTAGGTACTTTTATCTAATTTAACATGTAAATTTTTTTCTATCTCTGGTTCTTATTGATCATTTAAATTTCTCAAGTCACTAGGACATTGTCCGTGTGATAGCAAGTGCCTGTGATCATCGTTAATCAGCTGTTGGCGACTCGAAGACCACAGCATTTGCTGACCTGCTCTTGTGCTGCTCAGGTTATCAAGGACGACATTTGGCCAAATCCTCTTCACTATTTCCTGGTGCCTGACATCGAAGTGGAGAACGGCGACGAGGAGGAGGATGACGGCGAGGATGGTGAAGATGAGGAAGAAGGCATAGAGGAAGATGATGACGAGGAAGAGGAGGAAGAAGAAGATGACGATGAAGAAGAGAACGCGCGTGCTGCTGAGCAAGGTTAGCTAGTGGTGCTTATTCAAGGATTTCCTTTCAAAATATGTTTAGTGAATATTTTTTCCAAGTACGTACATAAATCAAACTACAGGTAATGCATTATTATACCAGGGTTTTATTAACCTCCTCTTTATCTTGTAAAACTTGGAGTTTCCGTAGTCACCTTGCACCCTCAGCAAATATCTGCTCACTAGTAATAGACATGTTCACTGTAAATTGAGCATTAATAGCATTTTACAATACCCAATTCACTTAGGAATAATTTATTAAATTAGTTTATCTTCTGAATGGCCGCGATGGGCCGCGTTGCTGAGATGAGCTGGTGTGTGGCAGCAGTTGCAAGTCGTTCTTATAGTAATTTGTTTGGAATAATTAATTTATGGAGAGAAATTTGGCACTGAGCATTTTTGTGCAGGTAAAAGGACCTAACTAAAAATAGTATTGAGTGTTCTACCTAAAAATAAAAAATATGTGTAAAAATGGGTGTACTACCTAAAAGGCCCTCCTGTCAGTTATAATAAATTTGTTTTGATTCTTAACTTATTCCTAATTTTTGTTGATTCTCTTAGAATCAAGAAATTTATTGGAAATCTATCATGAAGAAAATTTTGAACTTGTATGCCACATGCCACTGTTTATATTTGCCCTTCATTTACTGGCAAATATTATTTCGTCTCAAGCTTTAATGAGCCACCAGACAATCTGCCTGTTGAACAGGTAATTGGATATTCTCAAAAACTATTGATCTCCTATTCCTTAATTCGTTTAGATGTGTGATTAATTTTTTGAATTAAATTCAGCTGAATTAATTGGTTCTTCCAAAGTAGAAGTACTGATTAAGCTTGAAAATTGTGTTCCAACATAATAAAAAGTATTGCTTGATTTTAGATGCCGCTATTTATTTGAAGTCAAAAATCAATCAATACGTGTTTTGTTATACTTTCTTTATTGCACGCACCATTTCCCCTATTCATCACTTACCCATCGTTGACTGGATATTTTCTTGCAGATGACGCAGGTGGTGAAAAGGAAGATGAGGGCGACGCCAACGAAGCCAATAGCAAGACTTGAAGATTGTGGCCGCTGTTTTCTAAGTTTAAGGCTTCTCTGTGTCCCATTACAGCTCGTATTATAAACCTTCACCGCCAGACTTGTTAACAGTGCTGGTAGGTAGAGCATCATAAAATTGCTCGATTGGTCTTTTGGCGGTACAGGTCAAAACAGGCTCGTCATATGTTATGATAACTTGGCATGTTGTGAGTGCGACAGAACGGTATGATTTTCATGTTCCGAGCCTTATTTGTTTAGAATTCATCAAGGAAGCAGAATTTATGAATTTCGTTTTGAAGCAAGTTATTTTCGAATTCAATTATTTTCTGTACCATCCGCATCACGCAAACGCTTTTTTATCCATTTGGACTAATTGTTTCAGCAGTTGAAGACGTAAATTCTCTTTGAATTTTCCCTCGTGCTAATGCTGACTTATGTTTGGGACTTGTGTATTTGTACATCAAGAATGCTACTGAATTGTGATGTTCATGTTTATCATTTACCGTTCGCCCTTATCAGTCTTGTCAGCCTGGCACAAAACGTTTGCTTGTCTCGGGAAAAAGAATGAAATTAGTAGCAATATTGAAACGGCTCGAGTGAGGGATGAAGTCAAATTAACTGCATATTGTCTCATGGAGGTCAATGTTGTTCATCAAACAATCCTTTATGAAAAGCTTGATAGAATTGTTTCTTAGATTCCAAGGTGGGAGCGTAAAACATTTTATGTGTTCATGCGCGAGATTTTGAGGTTAGCGGTTTTATTTTCACACTAGCCGAAATTGTTCACTGCTCTGAACTTGTTAGTAACGTCTTTGAATCGAATCTTTTTTAAAGAAGCTAGCTTTAGAGATCGGACTTCTACGTCACTAAGTTTCACGCCAATGTTTAAAGGCCATAAGCTTTCAACGTTGACCCTCGTTCTCTACTTTTTATTTCAGACATTTTTTGTAGCTACTGTTCAGACGAGCGACCTTGTTTCAGGAATCTACTGTGAACAGATGAAAAGACTTATCGACTCCATTTGAATTTCCGTCAGTAACTCTTGATTTTGCGAGCTGTTTTTGATAATCTGAATGGATGTACTCGAAGGAATACAATTTTTATTTGCCATGTTGCTCATTATTACCAAAGATTCTATTGTTCAGTACTTGATCAAGCTTCGACATGTTCTTTGAACCCTACCGTTAAACATCGCCCGGGATGTTTAGCGGTAGTCGAAACAACGAAATATATTCAACTGAAAAAGGGATGAAAACGACTTGAATGAGGGAAATTTATTTTAGAAGTTTAGAATGATTATATATTACAATTCTCGGCATAATGTAGGAGAATATACTAATAATATGTACACTCTTTGAACACACTGATCAACTAAATGTACCTATCACTGACGCCGCAGGGAGTCAACTGTGGATCAATACCAGTTATGTCTCGCTTCCTGCTCGTGCAGTATTAGTAGCTTCAAAAATTATACGCGAATAACAAGCGCACGGGTCTAATACACTTACTTAGAATCATCTATTTAGGAAAACAAACCATCACTATGATAAAATTTTTTAAATTAAATGAACGAACTGCTTTATCTTGGCGGATTAACGGAGCATAGCCTTGTCTCCAGGTGTAATGTTTGGACTGGTCAAATTTACAGCTCGTTCAAATTAATATTCAATTACTCGGATAACTTTCTATTAGTGTATGATAATATGAATGCACTTGCATTACATTCGCCAATGATTGGCACGCACATCGTTGCATTACTCTGCTGTTCGTTGGGAACTTGATGCCAAACATCAACGTTGGGCTCATCGGAAGAATTTGCCGAAAAATGAAGATGAAAATCCACCATCTACAAAGGGATCTGAAAGACAGCACAACGGATACAAAAATTGTTTTTAAACTGGAAAAAATAAAGTTCCACCCAATTAAGATACTGTAATTTTAACCTGCAAATTAAGCCCCGCGCTCTAGATACTCGATGTTTGAGTTGAACAGTAATTTTTGTTTGATAAAAACGTATACATGTATGACCTGGACATTTAACGAGATGTTAAAAAAAAAACTTATTTATTTAAGTCATATATTAGATAGGAGGATTCCATTCGATTCGCCGATTGGTCCTCGAATATTCTAAGAAATCATGTCATCTCTACAAACCGAGTTGTGAAACTCTTGTTTGACCAACACTAAGTGTCGGTAATTAGTGACAGGTACTGTATTGTCCTGTTTGTAAAACGACAATTGACGGAGAAGCCGAGCTTCACCTGAGCAACATTATAGAAATGTAGGCTCGGAACTCGTCTCACCTGGCACGAGGCTACTCGCTGTCCCCGGCTGAATCTCGGTGACGGTGACCTCTTCCTTGCCGCTGCTGTCACGGTACGTGCGACGTTCTTCTATCACCTGCACAGGTAGTTACATCTCGTCATGATTGTTTATACAGAACAAGGGGGCAGAAAATGGATGATTTATGCAAGGGGAGAGAGAATGGCTGATTTATACAAGGTGACAGAAAAAGGCAGATTTATACAAGGGGACAGAGAATGGCTGATTTATTCAATGAGACAGAGAATGGCTGATTTTTGAAAGAAGACAAAATGGTTGATATATTTATTTGTTAGTGTTTTTATTCGTTAAATGGAAACCTGGCAAAGAATAATCAGGAGTTTGGATTTTGTAATTAAGGTTCGGACCAGAAATAAGAAACAATTTTTTTAATAAAGTTAAGTTTCAAGTATTAAAATGATAATGCACAAATACTTGCATTAATTACTCAACCCTGCATCTAATAAAGTATAGGTAGTGTCTAAATGATGAAACTCTTCAAAAATATCATCAAACCGAACTAAATCTGCATCAAAATGAACGAATTCTCTCATTTGGTTTGATCATAAACATTTTAACCGCGGCCTAGAAACGACGTGTTAAACCAAACGATCCATTCCGACACTCCCGCTGAGTTCACTATAAGATAGAGAATGTTCTCCCCGCATTCGTACACCATCAGGGCGGACGGTCCTGCTGATGGAGGTGGACGTAAAGCTCCGTCGGACTGTGGGTTCATGAGGGATCAGAGGAGCTGGAGCGCCGCTGTAGCCTGGCCCATCCTTCAGGAGTTCCTGCAGGTTATTACGGGGCCTGCAGAGAGTATTAAAACATAGAAATGGTTTCACGAGATCGAGCGTATCATTTCAACTACAAACTGAGGCACACAAACAAAGAGCAATAACACTCGGGAAAAAACTAGTATATCTTCGAGAGCAGTAAAAAATTAAATGCCCGCCTAGCATTGAAGGAGATGATAGAAATGCTGACCTACTTGGCGCACATAATAATATGATTCAAAATAAAAACAGATCACGTCTCTTCACATATTTCCTAGACATTTCATCAATAAAACTATAATCTCAAGCATTGACGTTCCTCGGAAGAATAACTTGTGAACGAAATTTTGCCAACTAGAGGTTGTTAATTTATTCATAATTCGTAGGCATGAAATTTGGACGCGACGATGTATTTTATTCTATTTTTAAACAAACTCCATTATATCCGCTCATTAATTTCTATCAATAGTTGAAAGTTTGTTCATCGCTGAGTTATCATTATCGAGGCTACTGGACTTTTCATGGATTAAATACCATATAGGCACTATTCATAGAAGCACTAAGATACCATATGAACTAGAACAAAAAGAAGTCCGAGATGAGTTTTCTTGTCAAATTACATTGAATGAACAAATTACTTGATAACACGTCTTGGTCAAAACACTATTCTCTGCCTTGGCTCAACACTGGATACATGCTACTCATCGTTCTATTTCAGAATGCAAACAAGAAATAATAATAATAATAATAAATGAATAAATAACAGAGCATATCATTAAGTTCATAAGTGCTTATTGTTGCATGAAAAGAAGTTGAAAAGCTGAGCAGTTATTCCTGAACTCTTAAGTTTTGAAAGCCTTTAATCAAGATGCAAACAAATAAAATTTCCCGTAAAAATACTCACTGTTTATCTAAATCTTGGTCTTCTTTCAGTAGATTCTCCCTGGCAGGTGGAGAATGGAGCCCATATCCTGTGCGTTAAAAGATGTGATGTTGGAAAACCGTTGCTTACAATTATAATAGGTGCGGTAGTTGGCAAGAGCTGCGAAATTCTCAAATTCAACAGATAGTGAGTAACCTTAATGGGGAATTATGATCAAAATGATAGTTATTCCTAAAATACTTCGTTAAAGAAATGTCTCAAAAAATATAACTCAGTACTCACTGCAGTGAGTGACAGAGAGCGCATTTTCTCGTAGACGAAAACATGAAGTCACGGACGGACAGACAGACAGACAGACGGACATGGCGAGCACAATAGTGAATTTTTTCCATAAATGAGAAAATGCGCTCAAAACTAAACTAGAACCTGAACTAAAAACTAGACTAAAAACTAAACTAAAAACAAAATTAAAAACTAAACTAAAACTTTCGTCTCGTCGACGAAAGCGTGAAGTCATGGACAGACGGACAGCCAGACAGACGGACATGGCGAGCACAATAGTGCATTTTTTCTCTAAAGAGAAAATGCACTAAAAACGTACAGCTTTGTCATATTAACTGCCGATGCATCTTCACAGTTGATATGAAATGTAGGTACAAAAAGTTCACCTTCAGGAACGTCAGGCTCATTATAAGGTCGCATCGTGTCACCCCTAGAAAAAGGCCGCAACATCTCGTCCATCATCCGGAATATGCTTCCAAACCTAGGAGAAAAATAAGTGCTTTAATATCATTAATAAGAAGCCAAGTGGGCTACAAATTAACTTGGCTTCTCGATACTATATCGAGTCAAATATAGAGCTAAAATAATGAGTCAGCACACGAAATGACTTCACAACAGTTGATCATTTGCAAAGAATAATTCACACAAGTTTGCAAGATTGCAACAACTGACTTACACCAACATTTCTTTACGTTTCTTCTTCAAAGCCAAATGAATGCCTTGTAAAAAATTACAAATGGAAGTCATTTGTATAATATTTCAAACAATTTGAGGTTTTGCTCAACAGACTGACCCAAAACTTCCATGAGGATTTTGAAAGGGCATAACTTCATGATGATGAAATTCCTGCGTTGTCGAGTCGTCCAGAGCCTCGTGGCTGTCTTGAGATGGAGTGGCAGAGTCTGGCAGAGCTTCAGGTGGCAACAGAGAATCTGGTGTTTTCAGGAACCTGTCTCGGGGACTGAGAGGTGTTGATGGGCCTGGTGAGCTGTTTGGTGGCGGCATCAATTGTGAATGATAGCCTGAAAATCATAAAGAAAATTAATAATTTTTTATTGTGTTAATTTTTAACACAAAACAAGAAACAGCAACTTCAGCCAGTTTCTTCACAATATTTAGTGTATGTTTATTGACCCAATGTAATTTGTTAAAATTATTAATGTCAAAGTTTTGCAGTCAAAAAATGAAAATACTTTGTACACCATGAAATATATCATTATTCATGGCAGTCATATTATGGAAGCATTTTAGGTTCATGCCACTCATTGCATACCCAAATAAAACAGCACAGTGCAGAGCCTACACAAAATTTTTGAATTAATTAAGTGATATTTGGTACCTGGGTCCAAGAAGTCCATGCTAGACATGGCTCTGTCAAGCATTTCCATCATCTGGTGCATTTGTTGGAAGGGATCAATGGAGCCATATTCTTGATGATAGTAACCATTGGGAGAAGAGGATTCCCAAGCCTCAGAATTAGGATGGTTGAAGAAAGGAAATGTGAAGGGTGTGAAGTAGGGATATTCCTCATCCATATGATTTCTGATGGATCAAACAAGAAATTAAAATAACAGTATTTCTTAATCAAAAACATGACCTAAAATTCTGATATGAATAAATAATAAATTTAATTTGAGCAAATCAGTTTCCCTACTCCAATCTCATCAAAATTCAGTATTGAACAATTTGGACAATTTAGTTGATTTTAACTTTTGATTCAAGTACACTATGCAATTAATACTTGTTTGTGGTGAGAAACTAAATATGCATTTATTATTTATAGATTTAATTTCATTTAACCCTCTACTGCCTGACATGAGTAACCAGAGCAATATTGTCACAAGCCTACTTCCCAAAAAGGATATGTTCTAGTGAGTGCAAAATGACTTGCACTGATGGTTACTGCCACATACAACAACTTTAAACTGTTCTCTGTTGTGTACAAACATCCTCAGATTGCTACACTCAATAGTCAATAGTTTACATATCATTCAAGTTGAAAGTTATGCTCCCAGAGAGGTGACATATGGCAGTAGAGAGTTAAATGGTCATCTACTGAAGATTAAGAGAAATGTTTACCAACATAAAAATACTTTATTTGAAAATTTTTTACTAAGAATCTTGTTAACTAATACTCAAAAACATCTTACAGTAAAAATACCATTCAGTAGAATACCAACCTTTCAGAAAAACGATCTTCATTGGGTACTGAATTGAACCCAAAAACTCTCCTAAAAAATTCCATCATATAAATGTTTGTAAAGATAGCATAAATGGCCAGATTCTGCAAAAAATTCAATTAATTAAATTTCTTAAAGTAATCAGGCTAACTAATAAGGTGACAACTAAGCTAGGTACCTGATTCAATACACGAGTATTTCTAAAATTCTAATGAAATGTTCAACTTAGACTAGTTGGCATATGGCAAATAAATTGCCTAACTATTACTGTAATAGCCTAAATTGGATATAAAAAATTGTAGTCTAGTTAGGAAAACATCTACTGTCAAACGGGGTACCTTATACGGGAAGATTGTGAGAGTTTTTTGTTAAGAACTTCTTACCATGAAACATTTCATAAACAAGTTTGGGCTCATCGAGTCATCATACCTAAAGGTCTTTGCAAGGGCTAGCATATGAAATTGATGAAAAAATTCCATATGCTATTGGTAAGGTGCCAGATATGAATATCTTCTGTGATTTTTACTTGTACTTGTTTTACCTTTATTGACATGATTACCATATCCATACATACATCATACATGTGCCATATGTGTGAGAATTTATGTTGCCATTTTATCATCTGTTTTGGATTGAGGTACAAAAATTCCATCAACAAAGTTATAAAATCAACACCAATTCTTTTTAATAGAGCAAATATTTCTTTTACTACAGACCTTGAGTCCTTGACAGAAGTAAACATTTTTTCAGGGATTTTTTAGAGCTGGTAAAAGTATGGTTTCTTAACTTCCTCTATGTTCATGCTAGCTTGCTAGGTACATAACATACCTAATACTACTACTAGTAACATTATCATAGGTAGTGTAGATAGGAAAAATGTTGAAAAGTATGCTATTTTTTTTTTAAATTGCAATATTTCAAAAATTCAACTATGTTTGCTGCTAAAACCTGCTATAACAATCTTATGCCGTGGCAGAGGACAGTTCCGATTTAACCTGCCCATCCCTTATTACAACGTGCCCGGCTGCCCGCTGGGTCGCTTGATGCCTGATGGTACCTACCTTAGCATACCTATAACCTAGAGGCTAGGTACATGATACAACTTTACACTAAGAAGTTCATAGATAGATATAATCATTTTTATCTCAGGTGAAGGGTTATTAAAATACCCTCTAAGGCTTTAATGCGTATCACAGTACTTTCATACGTTTCTGAAGGTCCAGATTCCAGAATGGAGCATCCTTTCAGGTTTCAGCCACCAGCCGAAAGCAATAGTTCAATGCTGATTGCGTCATAGCCAGTAAGCTGGATGTAAATGTAACCCTGTCCGCTGGGGCGGTAATGTAATATGATCGTACGTTCAGAGTGGAGGCCAATATGCAGGATCCAAGGGAACACATGATAATATTTATAATAGTAGAAGGAGTGGATCCGCAATGACTTTATTGACTCAGGATGTCATATTTTAATATTAAGGCTCAAAAATGCAATGCAGGGAAAACAGTAACAATAAACTAAAAACCCGAATCTTCCTCAAACTTCAACTCAAATCTTTTTACCCTAAACTGTTGATTCATTTGCACTTATTTTTCTATTTTCACAAATAATTTCTCCTTCCCAACATTGTTTTTACTGCTTTTTCAACATAAATGAAACAATAAATGATCCAAATACACACAAAGAGGGGAAAAATGATCAGAGAGGAATCAAAATTTTTTATTGTGATTTTGAATCTTTGCCATTATCATGGGGTTGTAAATGAACAAATTTGCGTTGTACTGTCAATGACCTAGCTTACACACGGCCTGCAGAACTCGACGCCCTCAAATGTTAACAATGAAGAAGCACATTTTATCGTTTTCAAGCGATACACGGAAAGAATGACGCTTCATAGTACAATAAAATTTTATAAGCAATAAAGCTAATAATATTGTTGAACTAATATTAATTCGTACATGGCATACAGCATGTTTCTAATTAAAGTTAAATCACATCATTAAAGTGGCGAGCCTTCTGTGGTTGACTGTCAATGAAATGTGGATAAAACGACCGGTAGACTTTAATATACTTTAAAAAAATATCGTAATTTCATCGCCATAAATCCGGATAGATTGAAAAGCAATGCACTTGTAGCAACACGAGACTAACATTAAATAATTGGCACTGTGACTTTGACATGTTCTACTGTCAATTACACAAGTCGCCACTGAGCAGCTACAGCGCTTAACTCGTCGCTTTTCCATAAAAAAACGTATAATACTGCTGCGATTTGTAGGGCTCCAGTGCCACCTACTAACTAAAAAAATTTTTGTTCGCGCTAGAAAGCTGTGCTCAGTTTTAGCTTTCCGTCTGTTAATCGTTTATTTTGAAGGCCGGACATGAGCTATGACGAAGTTAGTAGCATTGACGGATAATCGGTATTTAATATTAGCAACTAAATAAATTATAGCTTTAAACCTATCTAGTACTGTACAATTATAAAATCTAAGAAAAGAAATTATTATTGATAGAACGCTGCAAATTTTTTGCTTATCTTCGTCTAACAGTCGAAATTCCAATAAACTTCCTTGAAGTGTACAATATCTCTAGCATATTGTTCAAATGATTGAATCAAATGCACTTCATGAACACGTGCACATGCGCAATTTAAATTCGCGAGAAACAACCACCGAACATTATTGTAGTTAACCACAGATAAGCGTTGTGACGTATATTTTCACGGTATTTATTAAATGACAAGTGATGTGAACGTTTAGATAAGTTAATTTTCAACTATTCAACATGAGCATAAAACAAGCAAATCCCTTCACTGCCATAAGGCAATTTTTTCACATAAATAGGGCCTGGAACATGGAATAACACAGATACGAGTCCAAACATCGATGTGAAATACAGTGGGGGGAAATAAATATTCGTACACTTGAAAAAATCGTATTTTAATGTATGTAAGTACACAAACTTAACAGGAAAAGTGATTTAAATTACGCTGTCACGGGTCTTGAAGCGTCCAATGAACGAAGCAACTGTACTAAAAGGAACATTCAAGTGGCTAGCAATCTTCCTATAACTTTCTCCTTCCTTCCAACGCGATAGAATTAATTGTTTTTAGGAACTTGTTAGTTCTTTACCTTTAGCCATTTTTGAGACCTTCTTGTACTACGGGCAGTTGCAGAATGATCTGGTAGTTGCAAAATACGTTAACTCTGGTTGCTGATTACATTACTGGAACGTGCTACATGTTTCTAGTACATTCTGGAATGTTCTGGTGTGAAATATTAGTCAAAAGTTGTTTTGTACGAATACATTTTTGACCCGAAGAAGTTAACATGTTGCATTAATTTTTGTTGCATTGAGATTTAATTTCTATTGATGCTATTTTTGAATACAATGCGCCTCTATACATAATATAAATCACTTCTCCTGTTAAGTTTGTGTACTTACATACATTAAAATACGATTTTTCAAGTGTACGAATATTTATTTCCCCCCACTGTATAGAGTCATTATTATATTTGAAAGATAAAATCACAAGAAATATAATGAAAGACTACATCGCAATCATTCATCATACAAAGATGAAGCAATTTCAGGTACAGCGACGCATACGAGTTAATTATTTCAGACTACTGTTTAAGCAACACAATCATACACATACTGAATTTCTCTTAAATACTGTCGTTAAATATTATTTTCATAAATTATATTAATAATAAATAACTGTAGTTATAAAAATCTTGTCATCATTTGAATAACACGATACAAGTTATAAAATTCTCCATGAAAAGACAAAGATGAAGTTTCAAACTTGGAGAAATTAGTGGATATTGAAAGTCATGTTCATATTATAGTGATGTCGGCACTGAAGAATAGGCCTGATGTGGCCTATCGCCGAATCTTGTACATTTCGTGAATTGTTCATAGAAGATCTGAATACAAGTCCTTTGACCGGATCTAACACAAGTTGAAAAAATTTATCCAGTCTTTTAAGGCCACATAATTAAGCTTACCAACGGCAGTCATATGGTTTTTAGTCCATGCAGATATTGTTTATAGTTGGAATGTAGATGTATTGCTGAACTTACAACTCGCAATTATATAAAGTTATTGTAACTCTAGCAGCTAACTGAGTTAAAAGAGAATGTCATTTTAATATTTTAGAATTTAACTGCAAGCTGGTTAAGGAACTGATAAGTCTGTTTCGGAATTCTGCAAAAACTAATGTCTTTTACTTGATTTCAGGATTTACTGATAGATACTACGAATATTAAGCACGTAATGAACAGAATAATCAGTGATCAACATATGGAAAGCTGAGCCCTTATCGCTCTGAACTGCTGCCAGTTACAGAGCAGCGTCGGTCAGCTCTAAGCACCGCGTCGGCAGAGTATCGTCAGTCAGCAGTGAGCCCCAAGCAGCGTCATTCATAACTGAGCCACGGGTAGGCGAGGCATCGTCAGTCAGCACTGAGTCCAGGTCAACAGAGCAGCGTCATTAAGAATTGAGTCCCACGATGACAGAGCAGCGTCAGTCAGCACGTCAGTCAGCACTGAGCACAGGGTTGGCGTAGCCCTCAGCGCTGTTCCTCCTGACGGCGTCGCCAGCCTCGTGTTGAGCGTCGCTGACGCGCGGGCCGCCGAGCTGCCAGAACTTCCGGCCTCTGACCAATGCAACTTATTTTAATGATTTATTCTAAATTAAAAATTGAAAATTAATCCGTCACATGAAGATAAAAATAAGTAAAAATATTCTGCGACTCGGATCGAATTTATTTATTGCATGCTTTTAGTACGACCTTCGGACTTTGATAAATATCCTAGTTAGCCCGACGTTGCATGGACTTTATAATTCATGGTTTCAAACCCTCAACTCACTGCTCGCATCTTACTATTCACAGCCACTTCGTCGATTTTGACCAGAACTGTCACAGGAAGTTTGGATCGAACCGGCAACTCACTGCTCTGAACTGTAACCACAGCGCCACCCTTCCCTAACTGATACTTTTCAAATGAGCAATAATCAATTTCAGCTCAATGGACCAAACATGCTCGGAAGACAGCGTGTGAATGCAATATTTAACAAAATGATATAGACAAAGAAAATTTGCTCTACATCGCCCTCCACTTCATTAATAACATTCACCCAGAAAAATAAATAGGTCACACTGTCCAAATAATGATACATTTTTTGGGCCTAGCACAGATACACCTTTTAGCCGCGCCAGACTGGGCACGAGAATCCGGACACCGACAGAAAAGTGCGTCGCTATTAGGACTTTAACTCATTTTCTCAGAGTGTTACAAGGTCGGACAGTAAGGAAATTGTCTTTTCTTAACGTAATCTAAGTTAAAATATCAATATCAAACATGGTTATAGATACAATATGAACACATTAATAAGCTCCACTAAGAAAATAACTCACTTGTAAGAGAAATATTTGCTGTCGGTGAGATGTGTTTCAGCCTCCAGCAGGTTCTGAGGCACAGGCGCGTTCAGCGTCTCCGGCAGGAAGCTGGACAGGACGCAGCCTGTCAGCCCCAGCAGCATCAGGATGATGAAGGGAAGGCCGTACCATTCCTTGGCCTGCATACAGTAATGCTTACCAAGTCGAAATTTCAATGTTTATGGTAATTCTGTTATGTCATTATATATGCAAAATACCGTTTAATAACAGATAAGCCATATTTCTTGATGAGGTGTAAATTTTATATAATCATTATGTTGGCAGGGCGATGCGACGCAGAATTTTAATATATTCAAATTTAAATAAATTCAACGACAAACAATGATTTGCTAAACGTTATAAATTACTAAATCTTAAGAAATTTGAACAATATTCATCCAGACGTCAATGATATAAAAGTGTGTTGTAATGGGAAAGAGTCTCGCCGCAAGTCATGTGACAGAATAAAATATCTCCAGTCAATGGCTCGACAGTGCGTGACCTGAATGCGTCTTATGATGATAACTAAAAGCCAAGTAAAAGCCGTGCACACAAAAGCCGTGCACACAAAATCCGTACACACTATTTCTAAACACCTAGGCAGGCAAAAGCATTGAACTTACTATAAGTCTAAATTAATGAAGTGAGGCAATCAAGCTTAGACTGGTCTTTAGCCATAGAGCTCTGCGGTCTCACATCTACGGAACTTGATTGAGGCGGATGGTGCACAAGCAAGTCATCATAAAGCGGATACGAAGAATAAGAAACTCACGCTATAAGCAATGTATGGCGATGCAGTGCCGATGCTCGAGGCGAACATGGAGGCAAGGCCCATGCCAGTGCCGCAGTGCGAGGTGGGGTACAGCTCACCGATGAGCAGGTACACCACAAGGAAACTCATCGTGATGAAGAACTTGCTCATCGTCAGCAGCATGATGCTCGCCCACACAGGGCTGTGTTCTGCCATAGGCAAACTAAAATATAAATTGCATGATAGGGAAATGTTTTCGGGGAGGCCAATGTTAAAGCGGACGTGGCAGTAATTTTCCCAGGCTTAGAATTGTACTTCGTTAACTGGCTACTGAAAATCCAGATAATTATGAGGTCTACTGCGCTCCGAAGCTATGAAGAAATTTCTCTCAAGCATGACGTATCGGGCTAAGTTTTCCATCGTACAATTGTAGAATCAGTATAAAATGTAATAAAATTAATTTATAGATAAGATTTTGATAGTGAATCTTAAAAAAAAGAATTTATACGGATACTAACACAAGTCAATTCCTAAAAGCAGCCGGCGCTGTTGAACGGCGTTGTGTTTGAAGCGTGGAAAGGGAATTGTGAGCAGTCAAAACTGAACTCTGTCTTCTGAACAAGAACTTATAAAACCAGATATTTCCAATTTCTACATCAATTGATTCTAAAATCGATGACATAGTTTGCAAAGAAGGTTTTTACGAGGTCTAGTCTCATGGAGGTCTAGTCTCATGGAGGAATATTTCGCCATCAAGATCAACTATCAATATTTCACCATTGAGACGAACTATCACTACTTCTCAATACTTCATCATAGATGAACTATCACTATTTTATCATCGAGAAGAAATATTGACAGCGTCTCACCAGTGAAGATAGTGGCGGCCGCGCAGCAGGCGGCCAGCAAGAAGCAGAGGCTCTGGCTGAGGCGGCGGCCGAGGCTGAGGGACGCCCACCAGCCCGCGGCGTTCGCTGGCATCTCCGTGACGCCGATCAGGAAGAAGTTCATGAACAGGTTGCCGTTCAGGTTGGAGGTGTTGTACGCCAGTCCGTAGAAAAATATGTTGTTCAAGACGCTGTAGAAATTAATGCACATTTTAATGAGCCAGTGAGACTTGTTTTTAATAGTTGGGGTATCCACTAATGACTGATTGGTGATCTCCAGGAATGAATAATGAATACGGAATGGCACGTATGTGCAATAATAATACCGGAGGCCGAAATTTGCACCCAACCAGTCTATTTGCGGCCATTAAAAAACAAGACGGGCGGCCACCGCTTAAAAATTGACCGGACTGCAATAATGGCCTCGTTCAAACGCTCATACGCGTTCGGGCTGGTCAAATTCTCAACGGCCAGTTGTGGCCGTTAGTACTGGGTTGCAAAGCTGGCCTCATGTAAACGCGCACTTTTTCTTGGCTCAGCAAAATAGATAGACTGTAAATGTTGCAGAATTTATTCATTTCTACAACTATGACACTTTTGACAGACGAAGAAGGTAGTACGACTAAACGGTCATTTGTATTTTAATCGAAAAAAACACCACAGCTACATACCTGTTTTAGTATCTTAAGCAGAAAGACACAAAACACTCACTGGATCAAACAATTATTTTTATTACTGAAGCAGTAACTACTAAGCTAGTGCTGCAATACTACTGCTAAAACTGTGCAGTGACTCCCACCAGTGAAGAGGATATAGATACCAGTCTCATAACTCCCACAAATTAGTATTTAGTAAAGCTAGGCTGCATTAGCAAGCACGACTTACTAGCAGAACGTCAGTAGGATGGTGCGTCTCCTCAGGACGGGCGTCTGCAGGAGCTGGTAGGCGCCGTGGTTCGGCATTCGCTTTTTCGATATTTCTGCACACCGAAGCAAACACATTCCGTTATTCTCGTTCTAGAATTAATTTAGAACATGGCCGATAGGTACGAGTTTCACGAATTAAATTCAAAAAGTGCCAATAGCTCCCATAATAAATAACTTTCATAACAATAGCATAACGATAAAAGCAATGAGCAAGCATCTCAGTTTCAGAAGCAATATGATAAAGACTAAAGATAAATTCTCGAGTAATATTAGAAATAAGCAATGAATGTAAAGGAGGACCTGAGAGCTGATCATGCAGCTTGGGCGGCACGTCGCGGCCGTTGACACGCGCTACACGCGCCAGCAACGCGTGCGCCTCGTCCACGCGCCCACGCGTCAGCAGCCAGCGTGGCGACTCGGGGATAAGGCTGATAGTGAAAGTAGAAATAAATTGTAAAATTATTCAATGAGTGATATTCACCTTTTAAAGGTTAGAACCACAGCACCCATGTAAGAATCAATTTAGTACAGTTTGTGGTGAATGACTTCATAGCAGAAGTAGGTGCTGATTTTTTCACAGTGGAAAGAGTGGAATAAGTTCAACGGAAGAGCGTTTTTTTATAATTTCTCAAGATCATTTCCGAATAAAAAGAGGGAAATTAGTAAAAACTATGTACGTGATAACATACATAGTCCCTATTTGCATTTTAAAACCAGAATGTCATAGGCCCATAAAATCGCTTGAAATCAAACTTGAAACTCAATGCAAACACAGTTCATCCAGAACATTACGATAGACTTATTCGACAATTAGCACCGCCATACTGAAAAAAGCCTCCCAATATATGTGAGGGAAATAAGCTCCTTCGGAAATAATGTCGCATCTACTGTATCATGTATGTAATATACAGTCCTGGGGAGGATATGACGATATGAGTGCCTAGTGACGATATGAGTGCCTAGTGACGATATGAGTGCCTAGTGACGATATGAGTGCCTAGTGACNACGATATAAGTGCCTAGTGACGATATGAGTGCCTAGTGACGATATTAGTGGCTAGTGACGATATGAGTGCCTAGTGACGATATTAGTGCCTAGTGACGATATTAGTGGCTAGTGACGATATGAGTGCCTAGTCAAGATATAAGTGGCTAGTGACGATATGAGTGCCTAGTGACGATATGAGTGGCTATATGAGTAGCTCACAGCGCGGCAGGGAGGTAGAGCAGGAAGGGCGTGCTGATGATGATGCTGAGGATGCGGTGGCTGCGGCTGAGCCAGGCGAGCAGCGCCAGGACGCACGTGCCCGCCGACCAGAACATGTAACTGATGGACGTCACACGCGACCTCCACGTGCTCGACACCAGCTCGTACGCTGCAATATCGAGCAAATATTGTAATTATCTTCTTTATTTGGCAAGATTCACCAATAGAGAACCGTTTGTGCAGCTTCAACATCTCGCCAAAACGGTGCCAGTTTACTGCAACTACGTATTTATTAGCATGTAGAGGATGAATACTGTATTCACTCTGCAGTCTGTCCTGATGACACTGTGAACGATAAACTTCGTTCACTATTAGCCGTGTTCATTTTATCTCGTGTGCATACCGAAAGCCACATCTAGCGTAGCCGCCTTGGTAACATTTATGTCGGACCTTACTTGGGCGGTAGCGACGTAGTGCAAGGTCAGGTCTGAGCGGCTGTGAGTCAGGTAGTCAGTCGTGTCCCGCCAGCCCTACAGTGGGGCATACCTGTTCTCATCTCACTCCGCTCTGTCGACTCTCAGCTATTCCTTACTCTAACGCTGGAGTCGTGGCTGAGCCGTGGAAGATTAAGTAAACTGCTCCTCAATAATGTACCTGATGTCACTCTAGTTTAATTTTAACCGTGCCAGTTTTTTAAACTGTGCTTTGCTGAAATATAACTACGTTGTATCCGTGTTACCGAAGTTGTAATGAACATCCCAGTGCAATAAAGTGCAATTGAACTTTGTACAAGATAGTTACCGACGTTTGGCCGTAAGGGCTCTGATCATTCTGAAAGTTTAATAGTTGCAGCCGGCGTCCGGTGACGACACAAGCATGCAAACTACAACTTGAAGCATGTCCAATAAGAATGCGCGATCTTAATCTATAAATCATGTAAGATTAACCGTTCAGTAACGTTTATTTCATTATGCAAATCAAACTTCACAGCGTGAACAATATCGCTTTCTTAGCATCGCAACAGATACAACCGGAAGCAGTCCTTTAACAGAGGATTAATAAACACGTGAATAGTAGAAGTCGGGACCGACTAGTTATTTTCTTCAAAAGTTTTAATTCATAAGTATTAAAGTATTAATTTAAGTATTGAAGTACTAATTCTGACCACAAGTAGTCGAGATCGGAGGCTCTCCAACCATTTTTTGCACTTAAAATTCATAATGATGAATCCATTACTCCATCTTCTAGCATAACCTCTGAATCATTAGACTGCGACTAAATAATTTTTCTGCAGATTCTGACCGAGTATGAGGGAAATCTCAAGGATGGGCGGGAAGGAGGTGTTGGCGAGGAACTGAGTGGTCATAAGCAGCCACTCTGACGTCACGTACACGCGCACGATGCCCATCACGCCGAAGATCGCGGCGCTCACCAGGAACATGAGACGGCGACCGAACCTAAGAAATGTTGCACATAACAGGCGTGGGCTAAAACCTTGATCGTAGTAATATTAGATTTTACTTAAATCTGAACAACTGAAATAAAGAGGGTCTAAGTAAAAATGGAATTCTTTTAACCAAAGCCTATTTATGAGCAGACGAGTATCAATATCAATTTTTGATAATAATAATAATAATAGCGGTTTCAGCGTTTATTAGGCCGTAGGCCTGTCGCCGATTCTTAACATCGCAGAACATTCACAGCATTTTGAGGTCTCGAACTCGCAACTCACTGCTACAATTCTGCTGTGCTTAACCGCCCGGCCTCCTCGCCGATTCTGACCAGAAACTGGCGTATAGAGCTGGGATCGAACCCGCGCCTCTCTGCGCCAATCTTGGTACTCTGAACTTTAACCACTGGGCCACCCAGTGGTTAAAGCAACTAAAGATGCAACTAAACAGTGACATTGTGAGTGAAAACCGAACTAACCTAAATCTGTTAGTCCTAAAACTAACCTAAATCTAAATCAATATAAACTACTTACTTTAAGCAATGAACAATGGCATGAGTATGCAAACTAGGCGACCACCTAGAGCCACAACAGTAACATTAGATAGTAAGAAAACGAATTTATTTGGTGGCAGAGTTACCAAAGTAATTGGCGCTAACTATATTGAAAACTAAAAGAAATTTTCTCAGAAATTAATGTTCAAATAGGAAGGTCAGCTATGCAACTCTGGCGGCATACATAACGAAGTTGAAATCCTATCGGGACGGGCTTCGAACAATCGAAGATGCAGGTAGAAAATTAGCTGCAGAGCTGTAAATAGACGATTAAGAAATTAAATAGATGATGAAGATACGAAGCGATATCTTTTAGGAACATGATAAAAAGTTAAAAATCAAGTTTTTTCATTCGTTTCTACTTAGATTATGTATTCGTTCCTTCATTGAAGAGTTGGAGGAGCTTCGTATTAGCACACACAGGGAAAGTTTCAGCCGATAGTATTAGCGGCAAGTACCTTTTTACTTCGAATATCGGGCTAGTTTTTTTTTAATTTTTTAGCATAATTTTCAATAATTTTGATAATTAAAAATAAAAATTAATAATTTTTATTATAAATTTTAACCCCATATTCGGAGCAGAAAATACTTGTCGCTACCACCCATAGTTTTGGTCTTTTGGAAACCTATAAGTGGGCCGAGAATAATTCAACATAATTGGTGGAAAGAGTTGACGAGACATTGAAACGACTCTTAAAGTGAAGCTAAATAAAACAAGTTCAAACAAAGCAGGTGAGTCGATTACATTATAAACACATATGGCAGCGCCACAAGACTTACAGGTCGGAGAGCGGGTTGAGGAAAAGAGTCCCGACGACATTGCCGGCCAGTCCCACTGACTGCCACATGGCGACTTTAGCGCTGTTGTCGCACACCCAATCTTGCCGGGTAGTGAGAGTCTCGTCGAAGTTGTCTTTGGAGTATAGATATCCCATTTGGCAAGCTAGGCAGCGAGAAAATAGGGATAGATTATTAACATTGACAACAACCAAATCATTAGTTCAGTCTCACTCAATCGATTGAGATCACGCTTTTGAAATTTAAGAAAGCGATTACGGATATAGTAACACTCATTAGCCCTTGATATCATGAGGCCCCATGCCCCCAGCTCACAAACATTAGTAAAAACAGTCAATAAACGCCAAACTCGATTTTTGCTCAAAAAACTGCGAGAGGATTGTCATTTTCTTAAGCGTATATAATTTAGTTGAAATAACTGGTTTATATTAGGCCACCTAAAATGATCTCATAAATTCAGCGAAAACTGGTACGTAAATAATAGAGAGCTACAAACAAATGTTCAAAGTAGTTAATATGAATACGAATGAGAACAAAGGAACACAAAAACAGTGTACCTATACATCACGGAATTACACCGCTCTACAGGACTGGCAGGTGATATCGAGTAATGATACAGGAAGTTATACATTTGCAACCAGCGTACACACTTCAGTACTTACGAACTATAGGCGTGGAGTTGTCAGGGTACAATATCCAGTCACTGATGTTGCTGATGTTGTACTGAGTGCACTGGGAAAAACTGCCATCTTCCTTTCTGAAAATGGATAATTCAGGTAAAAATCAGCTATGTTGAAAGATACTAAGCATGATGCCTGTCGTGTGATATGTATTGCTTATCAACAATATTGTAATATTTGCCTGAGAAAGTATGCTCAGTATTACACAGATGCCCTCGACGCGACATCAAGTTAAGGGTACATTCACAAGATTTTGTTTAAAAGCAAGATGAATATTAAAGTTGGCAAAACTCATTTCACCAACAGCAAAGAATTAGCTGACAAATTATCACACGATGTTCAACAGAAAAGAATTTATCAGTTCAATCAACTTTCTTGGTAGCATCGCCCAAACTTCTAAGCTAATTATTTCTGCGACCCATAATAGACAGTGTCGCTTCAAAGGTTCGCCTTCGCGCTTAAAATGTCAGCCAACTTTCGTTTGACCCGCACCATGTAATGGCGCTGTTCTGGAGACCATGTAATTACTCTGCCCAACACTGAATTACGTCATTGAAGCCTGTAGCATTTTTACTAGGTCACTGCAATTAATTGATGCCATGGGTGTGGAAGACGAAAACAAAAATAATACGACGAAAACAAAAATAATACGACGAAAACAATAGTGTGCCCGGTGGCCGTATAGGTATTGTTAGGAAGCCTGCAAACTCGTACTGCATTTTCATCACCTCATCACAATGAAAACATGCCTACAAGATAAAATGAGTTCTTTTTCGAACAATGCATGAAGCATAAATTAAATAAATTACTTCATAAACTGAATTAATTGTACGTCATAAATTAAATGTATCACACAAAAAATATATCCTATCTTTCTTATATTATACAGATGGATTCATGAACTGATCTTAATTCATCTAAGGTTATATTTTACAAGAAACAAGCTTGAAATTGACCCCTTCATTTCTGGGTTTCCTAAATGGCAACGTAAACTTCGACAAACTATCGTAAATGATAAATAATAATAATAATAAAAATAGCGGTTTCAGTATTTAGTAGGCCGTAGGCCGTAGGCCTGTCGCCATGGCAGAATATTCAAATTATTTTGCGGTCTCGAACTTGCAACTCACTGCTACAATTCTGCTGTGCTTAACCGCCCAGCCACCTCGCCGATTCTGATCAGAAACTGGCGCACAGAGCTGGGATCGAACCCGCGCCTCTCTGCGCCAATCTTGGTACTCTGAACTTTAACCACTGGGCAATGATCCTCATAGAATAACCAATTTGAGGAAAGCTCTAGGTTTTCCTTAAAAAAACTAGAAATATGCATATTCTTACTCCCATAAATTAAAAAAAATTAGAATACATATTAAGAAATTCAAAGGTTAGTGAGGTCAGTACGAATAGGAATGCTCACTTGTGTTTTGTTTATACTAGAAATATTTGTCACGTCTTGAATGATTCTCAGTATCTACTTGACTAATTGAAAGGGTGATAGTTTAATGAAACGATCAGCTGAACACACAATCTGCATCAATGTTAAATAATATCAGCAAACGCCATTAGAATAATCATGACGATGATATCGTCCGAGGAATGAGGTCTGTGAAAGAGGTGTCGCCGCAGGTGCTGTGAACAGGTGTGGTACAGTCGGTCAGATGTGCTGTGTGGTACAGTCGGTCAGATGTGCTGTGTGGTACAGTCGGTCAGATGTGCTGTGTTGTACAGTCGGTCAGTACAGTCGGTCAGATGTGCTGTGTGGTACAGTCGGTCAGAGGTGCTGTGTGGTACAGTCGGTCATAGGTGCTGTGTGGTACAGTCGGACAGAGGTGCTGGGTGGTACAGTCGGTCAGATGTGCTGTGTGGTACAGTCGGTCATAGGTGCTGTGTGGTACAGTCGGACAGAGGTGCTGTGTGGTACAGTCGGTCAGGTGTGCTGGGTGGTACAGACGGTCAGATGTGCTGGGTGGTACAGTCGGTCAGATGTGCTGGGTGGTACAGTCTGTGAGATATATTGCACACGAAGTTTTTTGTTAATTCAGTCGTCGTGCTCACACATTCTTATCAAGGGCCTAAGCAGCACACAAAGATACACAAAATGAAAAATATAGCGTATTTTAACAAGTCTTCGGCAACATTAACATTATTCACAAGTTCACAACTATTTTATTATTGTTATTATTATTCACGAAAAGTTTTCCTATCAGTCCAAACATCATGAATCGACTGAAGGAATTAAAAATAAATAAGCAGGATCGATCTCTCATCCATATTCGTACGTTTCTGATTAGCTTTTTTTGCAGGACTGAGTTTATGAAAAGGCTAATAATTAGTTAAAGATGCAAAAGAACGACACAGATTTTTCACTGGTCTGTTAATGCAGGTTTCATAGCAGATGTGAGATCAGAAAACGTGGACCGTCTTCGATTACACAGCTGCGCCACAGCACGAGTGTGAAGATGTGAGACTTTCTCGTGATATTCATATTTTTTCCGCTATGTTATATGACCTTTCCGTGTGTCACTTGTTTCTTATCAGTTATGTCATTGACGAAGATGTGTTATTTCAAGAGAATCAATTGAGTTTCTAGTGAGTGCTAGTTTTTGCAGCAGGTTATTCCTCTATAGCAAACTCAATCATGATCATAGCCAGTGTTATCTGTAAGAGTTTGTACGGTATTTTGATATAGCTTCGAAGGTTGGTGGGTTTTGGAGCTTCTTTCCTCAGTGTTGTTGAAGTTCCAACATGACACCTAATTAGATAAGTGTGTGTTTAATTAAGCTCAATTATTATTCTTTGCGTGCAGGGCAGAGAGTGGCTGAGTCACATCAATATCCGTCGCTCCATCTATATAAATTTGCTTCAGATTTGTTTTCAGCTTTCAAAAGATAAATACAAGTATGGACCCCCATAATCGGATCTTTCAACGTACAATCCAGGATTAAATTTCACTGACATCCACCATATACCGTTGTTGTTCATCAACGCGAGCACGTGTAAACGAAGCCATTGGGTGAAATTTTCATATTATGCTTGAAAAATATAATAGACAGTAATTGGAATGAGAATACAGTTAACCACTTTCGGAGTCATATTCACAAATGGAAAATACCGGATAAGCAAAACGCGCTCTGAAAAATCAGTTTTGCAAGGAAAACCTGGTTCCTATGGTAAAAATTAACAACTGCGTAAACAAACGGACATCACACTTATTGGAAAAATGAACCTATCAATAATAGGAAGGAATTGAGTATAACAACGATTGAGTAGCGATGAGGAGGAGAAGCCTCGCTACTGGATAAACAACAAACTGGATAAACAAACTACTGGAGGATAAACAAAACATTTAGGAATGTAACAAACGCACCAACTATGGTGAGAATTAAACTTTTCATACAGGAGAATGAAGTCCAAATAACAACGGGAAAAATAAATCTAAGTATTACGAGGAATAACAAATTTGACAATAATCACAGCAAAGCTAACAGCGATTGCTTGCATATTATATTTGACCTTGAGCGTGTCTCCTACACTTAATTATTGCTCGCTTTTACTTCACTTTTTGTTAACAACTTTCAGCATTTATGGACAGATAGCATTAGCCTAAGAATGTTGAAGCTCTCCCACACTTGACTTCGCGACCGTTTTCTTTATTGCTCAGTTCATAACCCCTGCATTATCTAATTTAGAAGTGAGCTCAGGTGCTGGCATGTGTAAATAGAGTCCCAAGCTGTAGGCTTTAATGGTTCATCACGATTGCCAACAAGACTGATGATCTCGCACCGGTTGACAATTCAAGCGGCCATCACCCACCTGGGGATGGTGAGGTTGCTGAGGCGGGTTGAAGATGGTGCATGTTGCTAGTACCCACCTGGGGATGGTGAGGTTGCTGAGGCGGGTTGAAGATGGTGCATGTTGCCATCACCCACCTGGGGATGGTGAGGTTGCTGAGGCGGGTTGACGATGATGCATGTTGCTACCACCCACCTGGGGATGGTGAGGTTGCTGAGGCTGGTTGAAGATGGTGCATGTTGCCATCACCCACCTGGGGATGGTGAGGTTGCGCCACTGGAGGAGGTCCAAGTCCTCAGGTTTTCCAGGCACCAGGCACCAGTGGTCAGGGGAATCTACGAGCAAGATGGGCACAAGCGCCACCCAAGCTACCATGAAGTCCAGAGGCGCCAGAAACGCCCACAGCAGCAACTGCTGGTAGCGCCCGCACGACCCAACGCTCTCCAGCACCTGCATCGTTACAATGTCGGGAAGAAGAGCTAGTCTTGAATTACCGTGAGCTATTTAATTATATTATCATGTTATCTAGTTGTCATGTCTACGAGTTGAGCGTTAGAATACGGAATAAAAGTCTTCAGTTAACGCGAGTTATGTCATCATGTTATCTATGTATAGTTATGCTGTCTACTGGGTGAAAGTTAGTACACGAATTTGACAACAATAATGAGTGACATTCATTTTTTTGCACTTTATCCATGCATCGTTTGTCTTCTGAGAAATCAAGATTCTTTATACCTAATTAATTATTGCGAATTATCGCAGAGGGTTCCATGAGTTCGTCAGTCAAGTTAAATATGATCATTACAAGTTCACAAGACACCAATATCAGTAGAGAAAGTGCTTTTGAAAAGTAAGAAAAAATCTGTATAACCTGACTAGACTTGAGAGGTCGTTTAAGGTGGACGTGCGAGTCAAAAATGTTTATTTAGTAACTCGCCAAATGGACTGAGATACTAAAAAATCTATCGCACATTTTAAAAAAAGATAAATACATAGACATTTGTTTATAAACATTCATTGGGATTCATGAAAATACACGTAATTAGCGAAATATGACTAAAAGCTCAAATTCTATACGAATAAGGATAATGTACGTATCAGTGTTTTTTTTAGATATTTTTAGTGTTAGGGAAAATATTTCTAGTGTTTTTCCCAAATATTAATCGCAATCTCCCTAAGTTGAGTACGAGGCGAAGTCGCCAGTCAATGTTGGCGGGACTTCCTCTAGTTTAGACGGCAACACGACGTCAGTTAAAGCGTAAGTGGGCAGTAAAGATGTGTCAATACAATTGTTGTAATCTCCACTTAATTTATCTTGAGTCGGCAAGATGTTATAAACAACTATGTAAAAGCCAATGAACGATACGCATTCGCGATGCAAACATTCAAGGGAATAAATTTCATTTACCGTAAGCTGAAAATGTAAGCATTTGGCAGAGAAAATTATAGAGATTACGTTGCCTTATCCAAGTTGAGAAGCGCTTTCGTCATTTACGCCTAACGACGTTAAATTGCTCTCTATGGTGGAGTTGCCCTAGCTGGTTTCGGCGTCACTTCTACATTTTGTAGAATATGTTGTGGCTAAAGTTTGCAATCAGAATAATAACTGAAATGTCGACTTCAAATTAAATATCAACGAACTTTAAAAAAGAAATTAATCCGCACAAACGAAGGAAATACAGAACTTCAATTTTTAAAATTATTTGCATCAATATACTGATTCCTTTCCGACAAGTGGAGCAAAAAAAAAAAAAAAAAAAATCAGCGGATAAAACATAATTTTTAATTTCATTTATCATTAGAAATTAAATGGAAAAAAATTAACTAAAATTTCAAGTTTGAACACAAGAAATGCAGGATATTTAAATTTGGAAAGTGTGTATGAATTGATAATCATTAAAGATGACCATTTCGGTACCATTGCAGCCCTAAAAACTCGAACCCTACAATCATAGTTCTAACCAGTAGTTTCAGGATTATTAAATTAAAGTGCAGTAGCCGCTGAGTGGCGAATGCCGAATCGTGTGTCATTGGCGAATACCGACCGGTGTTAATGGCACGTTATCTTGAGCTGGCATCAGATATTTGCAACTAATAATAATATACACGAGCATTCTTGAAATGATCATTACAGCACAACTGCACGAGCTCAGCGAGAAGTGAAATTCGCAGGACAACATGCAGGAAACGCAGCAACATACGGAAGTGCACCTGCCGCCATTTGTATCCGCAATCCTTTGTTACTTAGTTCGTAGAAAATAACTCTAATCATAGGTGCAGGTATATCGAGTCTCGACTACCTGTGCCGCTGCTCTCAAACTTTGCATGAACTTACCGATTCAAACAACGTGTCTTCTTTCTCGTCTTCACTCTTCTTGGCAGGCGCTGTCGCTGTCATGATAACTTGGTGGAGATGTTGAACGTTGAGAAAAACTCACTTTTTGTCAACAAGGATACTAGACTTCACGGGTTCAGTTTTTATATAAAAACTATATACTATGCTAACTATATACGTTTCAAAATCTTTTCAACTACTGAGTAAAGCCTAAAGGGGTCGTTGATTAAATATTCAAAATCGTGAGAGATGCCATTACGGTGGACTTTGCTTCTAGTAATTCAATCACAGTCGAGAATTAGCAAATTGTGCCTAAGAGAGAAGAAACACACACCTAACCCCTACTGTGTCAACCCAGCGACTGGTGGAGCCTGGACTGGAGGCAGCGACGGCGACCACCAAACTGCAGCTGCACGGTCTGCAACCTTGTACAAGTGCATGGGAGACCCGCGTGATGCAATAACACTTCCCAGTATCGTCTTAAAAAGTTCGACTCTAATTTGACATTCATCTTAGCGCCCTTTTTCCTTGAATCGTTTGTCTTCTGAGAAATCAAGATTCGTATTACCTAATTAGATATTCATATCACGTTATTAAAGCTTTGTCTAAAGTCATATAATCGTACTGAGTAATTTCGCTTGGCACAGAAGTAATATTTTCATTAATTTGTGAATCTATAATTTGTATACTAGAGCGAAATTTTGTACTCAATAATATTCGATAACTGTACAAAGTTTATGCCAGTTTTAGAGCACCATCACCGATTAAAAAAAGGAAATTTGTACGAACGAAGATAACCGTCTTGATTCGCAGAGGACCAAAAACTTGAAAATAACAGCATTAATGCTGCAAAAAACTCATTTAAGTGGCAAAGTTACTAATGAGTGTTAATGAAATATATTTTTAATGTACAAGGAAATAAAAGCGAAAGTTTCCAGTCAGCTTGCATTATGAAGGAGTTGAAGTCAATATTAGCATTTTTTTTATTCAACTGAATTGCCTAATAATTTACAAAACGTAGTTCGCAGACAGCAAAAATTTCAAGAATTTTCTGGTATATGGGAAATTTCTCGTCTTTTCCGAATCCTTGGGAATTTACCCAGCGCAAAAATTGGACGTTTCCGCTGGCGTCTGAATTTTGGCTTTAAAAACAAAACATTCGTACGCAGTTGCGCAGTTTTGTGATATTTTCCTGCAAAACCGATAAGAATGTCCCGGTGGTCAGTAAAAAAGTAGTGAGTTATCTCGCACCGCGTGACATGACCGCTGCGCAATCGGAAACAGCCTCCCTCACAGGAGCTGTCGATCACATGCAGAGCGCAGCAGAGCTAGCGAAGGAGAATTGTGAAATATACGAGGATAATCCTGTATATTGTTGTCTCAAACAGTGAGTCGCAGAATGTTATTTTAGGGGTGACAGAGCTAGTAATGGAAAGACAAACTAATTAAAATAATTTTGTAATAATTATTTCTATTTAGAAAAACTGCATGTCAGGTTGAGCTTGGCTGCCTTGTGAAAATCTCAATTGAAGATTCAATTTGTGTAAAATTTATAGTTCGTGTTAAAATAGGAGGTCAGTTGAAAAAATTATTCACGTATATAACACTTATATTTCCACGTAAAACTTACACCTCATCATAAAATTTACACCTGGTTTCAATAATATATTCCTTAAAATAACTTTGTATAAAAACAAAACCCTTAATAGTGCGAGGACTTAGAAGCACTGCATGACAATTTTAGGATTTATAGAAATATATTTGTGCTTCCAATATATGATCGAGTTATAATAAGGAGAAAGTGAGCAACAGGCAAGAACCATGAACTGGCGGAATGATATATCTTTTGTGCTTTCTCTTTTAAAATAAACTTTAGAAGAGAACTGAGTACAAATCCTGTGGATTCACTTGATGCACTACGAAATGAAAGATCCCTCACTAAATTCTAAACACTAAGGCAATTTTGACAACATTCACATTTCTGCCTTAATGAAGTACAAAAATCTTCTTACATTTAACGGAAATCTTACATCAAGGCAAGTGGTCCATGATGCAAGTGAAATCCGAACAACACGAATGAGACCTCTCGTTCACGCATCTCTTACACGAATGAGACCTCTGCTTCACGCACCTCTTACACGAATGAGACCTCTGCTTCACGCACCTCTTACACGAATGAGACCTCTGCTTCACGCACCTCTTACACTGTCTCTTATACACATCTAGATGTGTATAAGAGACAGGNACGCACCTCTTATACGAATGAGACCTCTGTTTCACGCACCTCTTACACGAATGAGACCTCTGCTTCACGCACCTCGTACACGAATGAGACCTCCGGTTTACGCACCTCTTACACGAATGAAACCTCTGCTTCATGCATCTTTCCCTCCTGTAAATTGGACAACAATAAAAGTCTGTACTATTTTATTTAAAGTTACGAAGTTAAGTCAGGAGTCGAACAAATAAGCTAACATTCAGAAATAATAGCTGGCGAATCCTGGGCTGATTTGTGTAGATGGTCCCTGAGATTTGATGGTCTCTTCTTTACGAGTTTATCATCTCCTAATCTCGATATTGCCTATTTGATCTTCATTTTATTTCGCCAACCCTTGTTTGATCATCTTACTCTGTTTTTTTTTTTAATTATTTTAACGCTTAAATTGCCATTGTTTGGTCGTTGTTTTGTCTCTTAATTGCCGATTAGTTTGTACTCGGGGATAAATCAATCGCCTTCCGAGTTCAATTAATAATCACGATGTAAGGTTAATGCAGATATGCACCCGATTAATCATTATCTATTAGTGGAAGGCTCTTATTTTTTTTAAATGCAGAGCTGTAAATAAACTTACTGAAGCACAATGTAGATAAAACATTTTTTTTTATATGTTTACTGAAAACAAGATAACAATTTACTTAGCTTTCAACGTTCAGTGATTATTCTCGATGATTCACTACTACATATTTACCCTCACGCGCTAATTTACTTCCAAATATTTGTTATAACTCAAAAGTCGCGAGATTTTACAAACAACGTTTTCACTCCTGTAAAAAAAACACCTTTTGAAAATTACACCGGAAATCACGTGGGAATTTCCTCAAAATTTACGTACAGCTAACAGGTCAGGGTTTCAGGCGCACCTGGTGTCATGGTAAGAAGTGAGTCATGGTAAGAAGTGTGTCATGGTAAGAAGCGTGTCATGGTAAGAAGTGTGTCATGGTAAGAAGTGTGTCATGGTAAAAAGTGTGTCATGGTAAGAAGTGTGTCATGGTAAGAAGTATGTCATGGTAAGAAGTGTGTCATGGTAAGAAGTGTGTCATGGTAAGAAGTGTGTCATGGTAAGAAGTGAGTCATGGTAAGAAGTGTGTCATGGTAAGAAGTGAGTCATAAAAATCACGACGTCGCTTGAAAGCAACTAAACTAAATGGTACACGAACACTTGAAAAAATATTTGTAGCATCTAAGTAAAGATGGAGGCCGAGAGCTCACATTTTGTAGCCCAGCATTACGATCGTGTTTGGTTTAGTTTTCTCACAAGAACTTCAAGCTATACTTACGCCTACGTTATGCATTCAATCGCCGCTTGCAAGTTATGCGCTACGGACGCATATCAGGACCAAAATTTGTCATAACAATCAGAGGCCGTATCATCGACGCCGCTTATTCTATCAATTTTCTCGAATATATTACATACAATAAGATGCCATTGAGAGATATTAAAGTGTAAGGAACAAAAGTTGCAAACAAAAATTACGTTAAAAATATACATTGCATAATTTATGATTTATTTCAAATTTCCAATGTGTTGATTGTCACATAACGAAAAAAACTTCGAAAAATATTCTGCCACCAACAAACTCTCCGAAAAAGGTTGTCATGTATATTGTTCATAAACATCTAAACATTAATCGCTCTAAAATACGACTCTAATAATACTATTGAACTCAAATCAACGCAAATCTGTGGAGTTTCACGGCGATTTCGCTCAGAATTCCCTACTGAAAAAAGATATAATTTGTAAATGATATTCTAGAGGAGCGGGTCAGTGCTGTGCCAGTCGACGGTGGCAGAGGGCCACTTGGTCCTGATGCAGTGCTCCAGGGGCGGCACTAGCGTCGTGCTGCTGCAGCCTTCATCGCTTCCAAGCTCTGAAATCAAATACAATTTTATGTAGTTGATGTACCATTTGATGAAAGTTTTGTTTAATACTGAAAATAAATAGAAAAAGACTGCATTAATCAGATGTTATCCGCACTTAGAAGGAAGGAGCCATATGTAGCTAATCTGTAGCAATAACACGTCACTCATTTTTGGCATGACAAATCTAGTCTTAATTGAAGCAAAGTTCCGTAGCAATAACACGTCACTCACTTATTAGCAAGACGAATCTCGTCTTAATTGAAGCAAAGCTCCGTTACAATAACACGTCACTCATTATTGGCATGACGAATCTCGTCTTAATTGAAGCAAAACTCCGCAGCAATAACACGTCACTCACTTATGGTGAGACGGATCTCGTCCTCCTGCAGGGCGAGGCCGTCGTAGTAGTACATATCGAAGGAGGTGTCGGGGGGGTCGTCGGAAGTGATGGCAGGGTTGCGGCAGAAGAGACACGTGTAGTGGCTCTCGCTGCACACCACCCACACCGGGTACAGGGGTGACTTCAGGTGATGACCCACCTGCCGGGGTGTCATGTATGTATCACTCAGGGGAATGAGGGAGCATTTGTCGAAATAATGATGCACTTTTTACCTGCCTCACGTGGGTCATCTTGGCCCAGTTTGGGCCGTCAAAAAGACGTATCAGTGCTATACTTACACCAAGTGTGCTACTGTTTGTACAATCTTACCCATTCATTTAAACTTTAGAATTAGTGCATAAAATCACGTGGTGTCAATTATTAACCGTAAGCATTATCTTCAAGATTGGTTACTCGTGGATAACATTTTCAGCCTGCAAACAAAGAGGTATATATAATTCACTCCGGAAAGGTTGCTTTAACAGAATATGCCTAATAACCAAGGGTATTTACAGAACAACTTATTTTCAGAACAACTAAGCAACTAATTTCTTCTATGCATAACATTAACATGATCATTAATTATAATTTCACTAGAATATTTATAACCCTCGTACTTGGAGAAAATCAACAGGGTTCGCACGTTACTTCACGTCACTAATTTCTTTTCGATACTCCATTTACCCCCAGGAAAAAAAATCACGTTTCGCCTTCCATTTCATTGCAAAATTTAAAGGATGGCTGACTCCAGTTCCGAATTTAACTCTATACTCGTTTTGTGAAAAATAAAAATTAATTTGTGGGGCACTGTGGTGCGAGGGTGTTTAAAAAAATGATTTAAACGCAGCGAAGTACTAGTGATATGTTCTGACGATGAATAATGCCCGAGATTTTAGCGTGACTTTGACATGACTCGCTTTACAGGAGCCATAGTGCTCGTCATGACTCACTTTACAGGAGCCGTAGTGCACGTCATGACTCGCTTTACAGGAGCCGTAGTGCTCGTCATGACTCGCTTTACAGGAGCCGTAGTGCTCGTCATGACTCACTTTACAGGAGCCGTAGTGCTCGAAGAGCGACAGGAGGCCGACGTCAGCGCGGTGATGGACGCCCCGGAGCGTCAGCCTGGCCACGCTGGCGCTGATGTCCTCCTGCACGAGGCTGGCGCGGGGCGGCGCTATCGTGTCGCCTGAACCATCACGGCCTTAAATTACTTTCAGTAATAACAGTAACAATACTTATGTATTGTTCACTCCACAAAGTTTACTCGACAAAGTTCACTTTCTGTTCTCTATACAGCGATTCCGGGGCAACTAAAAACTTGTTAACGCCAGGATAGAGTCGGGGCAAATAGACCTTATATATAGTCTTCATGATCTAAGGTTGAGGGTCAATTTAAACCTAGTCCACACTATCAAAGTTTGGGCGGATGGTAAAACCTAGTTTGCATTATCAAAGGTTTCAGGGGCAACTAATACCTAGTCCGCATAGGAAAATATTTTTTTAACGCGATCTTTTAGTTGGAAAACCAATTGGAGTTCGCGCACAATTGAGAAAACATTTTGATTTTTATTCGTTTCTGAATCAATGACATTAAAATTTTACCGAACATCTTTCCCATGAAAATGAATAAGTATTTCGTATTCCATATTTGCTTATAATCACCAAATACAGAAGAAAAAACAACAACACAATTCACTCCGAAATTAAGTGTGTCTTAGAGCTACGTTGTCGCTCAATACCCAATCTTAGGAATGCATTCATATCTAATACGACACCTGCAAACAACTGATGGATTGCGAAACGAGAAAGCATAGTTTTTTAGAATCTCTCAACTGCGAAAAAAGCGGGCTAGGAAATGTTTCCTCTTCAGTTCCTGACCCAACACTGTACACCTCTGGTCGCAAATATGGAATATTTGATCGCTTTAAAGACCATATATTTTGGATAATAATGTTCGTGAAGTTGATTCAGCTAGTCTTTGTTTAGATTGTGGTGGCGATCACATAAAAAGTTTATTATTATTGACCACGATCACTACTTTTTAGGAAGCTGATCATAAGAGGAGCGAAGTTACGAGAGAGAGAGATCAGTATACGCATGGTTGAATTATTAATTCATATTAATTAATATTAATTAATTCAACCATGAGTATACGTGCTGGCTGTCTCTCTCTAACCTTGATATATCGAATTCTGAGAACCCATGACGGCCAGCATACGAATTCCATGGAAAATCTCCTAGATATAAATTTATTTTCGTGGCTCTTTGCACTGTGATTTGCAGTGTAATATTACTCAATCACATTCTCCCCATAAAACTGATCATTCAAGCAGGACATTTTACCCGACGGTAACAGAGAAATAACTTAAGTTTTCATTATAAATATATTAGGCTGTCTGAGATAGTCTGTAGCAGTTGTTAATGAAGGAAAATAATTACAGTTAGTTTTTACCAATAACTAATATAGTCGTATGATCTTTTTTCCGATTACTCTCGTGAAAGTTTTTCTGTGGCATTAATTCAATACTTAGAAAATTTTACGTTTGACCATGTCGGCTCAGATGATAGGAATACCAAACAAAAACTGCGTCGCTCTAGAAGGCGCCCGCATGACTGAGCGTTAGGTCACAAGGCTATGCCTATTTTCAACATACAGTTGGTAACTCGTAACTATTACCTATGATAGTGTCCCCATCGAAGGTATTGGTGGAGGCGTGGCCTGTGAGCAAGAGGTTGACAACCTCCTGAGACGCGTAGCCGTGACTGTTGATCAGGTGCACGTTGTCGGCATCCATGTCCGCGGCCATCCTGTTCGACACAGACTCAATAATACGGTAATATTTTCAAAGTGTGTTTATATTCTAATTGCGTTTACTAATGCAGGTTTCAGAAGTCAAGCGAATAAATTGGTTGAAATGAGATGACTGCAATCGAATTACTAATAATATAGGTAGCTGTGAAATAGCTGGTGGTCTAATTTCCTAGTTTCTATCTCTGACGGTCTAATTTCAGTTTTCTGGCAGGATAATTTTTAATATCTGCAGGCCCAGATTTATCCTTTAACGGCCTAGTTTCTTGTATCTGACAATCACGATTTCATTCTCTAAAGGCCTAGTTTTTTTAACTATGGCAGCCTATAACAATCAGTCTGGATAATATAATATAATTTAAACACTCACGCCTCCAGCCCTCGCGTCAACATGACGGAGTAGAGCAGCAGGACACATGCAGGAGCGTCAGGTCTGGTGAAGACGCCTAAATGTTTCTCAAGACTGAGCAGCAACTGCGCCTGCGTGGTGTACGTGAACAGACTCAGAGTCTCGGTCACCCCGTCCATTGAGTACCGCCCCACGCCATGCTCCGTGAACTGGGCGAACATGTTTGGCCTAAAACCAGGGAACTTTGTTAATTTAAGAGATGTCTTGGTTTTCAGTCTTTGGTAATCTTCAAGCGAAAACTCTTTGATGAGCTGTAACAATACAAGCCCTGTAATGCCTGCATTTTAATGCCAAACAAAAAAGAAAAAAAAATATTGTGCGCGATAGGATGGAGCTGGAGACTCTACATTATTCAGAAATTTCTATAAAGAAAACCTCAAATATTATGGATTAGGCCGACCTACTCTACGGTAAAAAAAACTGTCGTATTCAAATAAACCAAACAAAAAATAAACGGATTTTATATTTACGTATCTACAGAACCAAACTCGCGCAGTAAATAGAATGAAATGATTACATTTCATATTACATCTCAACAAAGATCGATTAGTAAATAAAATGATCTCACAGAGCGAGCACGGCTCTCTCCCCTCCGCCAGCCCTCCAGATGATCTCAGTGAGGGCTACGGTGAGGGCCCAGCCCCACTCGCTGCTGGAGGGCCTGAGTGGGCTGGCGGGGCTCGTGTAGGGCGAGCAGAAGCTGCCGAACATGAGGCACTTCATCATGTGCGCCTGTACGCACGCGAGCACTCCACACGGTCCGCCCTGCGCGTACAGTAACGTGAACTTCAATAACAGCTGATGGCAAAAATTAAGGTTGAATTTAATTTCTTTATGGCATTCAGCGTTTAATACTATGAGTTACAATGTCGTTAAGTACTTGATATTTCAATGGCAGGCAAAGGTTCGATATTGGTAATTACAATCATTATGATAACTTTTTTTAATGGTGAGCTGCGTTCTATATTAATTTGTGCATTTTTTTGAAAAACTTAATTTACGAATAACGTGCAAGCTGAGATATTTATCGTTGTAGTTGGAGAAATGAAAAGAAGTTTATGATGGTTCCATGCATGTGTTCCGAAATCATAAGAATGACACCATTTCAGATTATGTTCTGAACGTAAACTTCGTTAACTGCTGTCATACACAGATAGGGTTGTGCGGTTACAGCGTACTACGGACAAAAAAAAATCCTAAAAAGCGATTGAACTCAGAACCCATATTATATTTGAGTTAGTGATAGAGCCAACCTCTAGAAGCTGTGAAAAAAAGATGCAGGGAACTGTGAAATTCGTTGGCAACGAAACGAATAATGCATTTAGAATAGTTCAGTTTGGAAGAAGTTGAAGAAACTCATGCACTCGCAACGAGCGGCAAATATTCGTACCTTCTTTTGGACAAGTCCGTATGCCAAATTTGGCTTTAGATTGACCTGGAAGTTCTGGGTCATCCACTCTAATGGCAATGTAGAAGCTGGATTTCCGGTAAGCATCTTCCGTAAGCCACTCGCAACTTCCATGGTGATCGGTACACCCGTTGGGTCACTGGAGCTCAGTTTTGGGCCTGCCACCAGACCACTCATCTCGTCGTCCAGCTCGTCAAGATCCCGCAAGGCAACTTCGTCCTCATCGTCGTCATCGTATCCACGATTCTTGGATCTGATACTCGGCTTACGGCGGCTGCCATGTCCTCGGCGCGATGGTTCGCGGCTGAAATCGTCTCCTTTCTTTGATCGTCTTCGCTTGCTTTTTTTCTTGATATCTATTGCATTTGGCGAGGAAATTGACATGGGCGTTGATACCATGGAAGAGTCCATGAATCCTTGCAAATTCAGTACTTGCACGTCCTCCCGACTGCTCGGTAGTTTATCAGGTAAACTCTTCTTACTTCTCCTAGTGTCCTTAAAACGGCTGCTGATCTCCGACAGGGAAAAGCCAGAGTCGTCTGGATTAAACATTAAGAATTTCTCAGGCGAATCTCCACGCAAAGTCATTCCATAATCCTTTTCAAAAGTTGCTTTATTTGCTATGTCCGCAAAACTTGACTTTGACGTCTTCTTGGTCTGACGGCGGAGAGACTGAGTCATGATGTCACCCCGAGTCATGTCGGCGAGAAGTTTCTTGTTACCATCCCGTTCGTAGTTCGACTCGCGGCCATTTGTCTGAATATTGCTCGTCGTTCCTAAATTTGCGTGCGCCTCTCCAGAGTCTACGAGGCTTCGCAATGGCCTGGTCACTCCAGTTCCGGATAACGAGAGTGAAGAATTGGGGTCTTTCTCGGCCAACGCGTCTCCGAGACTTCTGCTGATCAAGGATTTTCTTCCCCCAACTTTGTCATCCTGGAATAAATTACTTTGAAAATCATAACAAAAAGTGAGATGATCTTTAAATTCGTAAGAAAACTCAAGAAAAATGACGCATGAATTAAAATTAATTTTTTAGAAGCATTTAAGTAAACAATTGAAAATTAATAGTTTAGAACGGGAATAAAAGTGGAGTAGTGAGCGCAAATGTACAAAAATCCGGCTGTATTTAAGGTTTTGAAAAAATCGATTGATGACATAGGTATAGTAGTTGGATCATTTGGTCTAAACAAATAAGAATTTTTGTAGCAGCATGGATGTTAAGAAATGATTGAAACGCACCTCCTTCCCCTGCACAGGCCCCATCATGCCTCTGATGTGACGACCCCCGCGTAGTTGGTCCCTCTGCGCGGCCATCTTGGCAATGTCCCCAGCTGTCTCTTCTGTCCCAAAAATGTCCCCGTTTGGGGAGATACGACTGTGAAGTTCACTGAACGCGCTGTTAGCAAATTCTAGATGCTGCGGTGCTTCGTGATTCTGCAAATCGTTCACAACGTGATTGATGTCCGAGTCGAGATGTGGAGCGTTTGCCAAAGGAGAAGAGCTCCGAAAAGCTCCTTTATTCAGAAACGAAGCGTTTTCTCTGTTATGGTTATTATTACCAGCAAAACTGTTGTCTCGAGGTGGTATCTTGAAGGTTTGCGATAATATTTCGTTGTTAACTATGCTGGGGCCAAAGTGTTCGCTGATCAGGCTGGGCGTGCTGATGGACGACTTGTAGAAGGGAGCCGTCGCGTTGCCGCCATTGAAGCCGCGATGCAGGAACCCGATGGGCGCGTGCAGCTGTTCGTCCCCCGTGGGGGAGGTGAAAAAATGCAGACTGTGCCGGTGCTGCGGGGGTGACTGGCTTAACTGCACGGAAATTAAAATATCTACTGAAATGTTTAATTTAGGGAACGTAAATTGGTGAATACAAAATTATTAATCCAAGAATATCCTTGTTCACATATAAATTATATGCGGAAGCCGAGCAGAAAGTTTGTGTGGCTTTCCTAAGTGATGGACCATTCATAGTGGCGACCTTGCTGTAGGTCAAGACATGGGTTTATGTCTTCAACCGTGGATCCGTGGACCAAATAACCGATTGCATAAGAGTTAACGATAGATCTGATCACAGAAGATGAACTTTGAATAATCAAATTATGATCGACACAATTATGATATTCCAAATCAGATAAATCTTACCAAAAATGTCCCATCGTAATTAAATTTAAGATTTGCAAGTTTTGAACGATCACTCTACCAAGAGGTGATTAAGAACCTCATTCTATATATTCTTTAATGAGTGTTCTTTGTTATAAAGATCAATAAACTAACCTTGAGATGGCCACTGCTCGGAGGAAAGCTGTTATTGGGACCGGTGATGGAAAGCCTATCCAGACGAGAATTTCTCCTGTGGCTGATGGTATTAGTAAGCTGTTCCTGCGGTGGGAATCCGATGTGGCCGTTGAAAGAGTTATTTGGGACACTTAATGGGATAGATGAGTGAACTGGCGAAGATCTGGCGAGCAGGAGCTGACTGTTTGGCCAGGAAGCTAAGGGTGATCCCGATCGTGATGAGCGAGCTACGGTCTTTCCTGTTGAAATAAAAGAATGTCAGCCGACTGCCATTGAAACTGCAAGGTCTTTTTGACTTTCTTAGTAGAAATTGAACAAAGTAAATCGTTGGTCTTTTTGAATTTTTTATTTAAAATTTAACAGTGCGAATCGTCGGCAAAAAAACGGCAAATACAGTTCTCAATAATACGAAATAAATTAAAAGAGTGCATTAAACAGATTTGAAATACCAAAAAACAGCAATAACGGATGATCCAGCTTTTTGTGCACAGCTTTTTGTACAGGCATCTGTAGAAATTTGAGCCAAACGCACATCCACGCGAGCAGTCTAGCAACATACAAGAGCATACAAAAGACCACCGACTCATGGACACACGCTCTTAGGTAAGCAATCATGCATGCGGTGCCACAGAAATCAATGGAAGATATAGTGGACATGAGGCGTCTTCTTTCTTGAGCAGGATAGTCAAGTGTTGGGTAGGCTAGTCTTAGGCTAGTCTTGAGCAGGCTAATCAAGTGTTGGGTAGGCTAGTCTTAGTTGGGCTAGTCAAATGTTGGGTAGGCTAGTCTTGAGTAGGATAGTTTAGAGTAGGCAAGTCGTAGGTAGGTTAGTCAAGCGATGGAGTAGGCTATGCTTTATATACTGGGGCCAACGTTGAAATGTTCACTATAAAATTCAAGCGCAAGGCTTAACTTCCGAGTTCTTAAATTTCTAGAAGATCGTTTCGATTGAAACAGCATGAAAATACCATACCTTGGACCTTAATTTCTCCTATTATATGTTTGTAAACACTATGAACATATTTTATTTGAACGAGACCATTGAAGTGTCCTGTCTAACTTTTTTGTTGTCACATAATAAGGTCATCAGAAAGCAGAAACAAGGTCACATGACAAGGTCATCAGAAAATAATTAAGTTTATACCTCGCTAACTTAAATGACTTGTATCAGCAGCGCCAAACAGAGCTGCGTAATCAGTGAGGGCTGGAAGTGAACGTCGCCTACTGACTGGTGGGTTTGAGTGCAATGAATGTATCGGCCGCAGAGAGCGCGACCTTTAGATTCAGGACGAAATGTCATCGACGCAACTATGCTGACAAAGTAGTTTTATTCCTAGAAAAAGCTAGAAGTTTGCGATTGCGGATGAACTATAAACGCACGTGTCAAAAAAGAGAAATTGGTGAATGAAGTAAGTAACGTATTAACAAAAAAGAAGAATTTTTATAGAAATAAACTCGGGTAGAACACGAGTAAAGTCACCCTTGCTTGTAAACAATACGAACAGCGTTTGGTCACCAAACCTAGAAGAATAATTAAACTCAATCGACCAACATGCTTAATCTGATATTTGTTTAAAAGTGAATATTGGTTAGATTGGAGCACGGAGCGCTATTTATAGAACAAAAATTAAAGATTAAATGTTGTTTGTTAACCGTGAATGCTTCCTCATTTGATACATTTTTCATATCTACGAAGAGAACAAAACCAAGCAGGAATATAAAAATTTTCATAATTCAAGTGTAAATAGAGGGAATTAGAGTGCCCGTACATTTAAGTGAGTGATGCCCAGTACCGTGGTGCATAAACAATATTTCTCGGCCAACGAATAAAGTTTTGAATTTACTCACAGTCCGGAATAACGCAAGAAATTGTTTTCCTTTAAATCATAAGAAATATTATCCAACTTGAGAATCGATACTGAGGAAGCTGCTGCGTGACATCGTGACCTGCAGTTGATACGAACTTTGAATGGACAATACAAGCTTTGGTTCACTGCCTTTGCTATTCCTCGATCGTGATCGATGCGTGCAGTGCGTGATGCAGTGTGCCGACGCACTAACGTACTGCGTGATCGATTTCTGCAGTGCGTGCGTGCTGCAGTGTGCCGACGCACTAACGTCGTGCGTGATCGATAAGTGCAGGAAATATGGGATGATCCTATTGAGATTTGAATATTAATCCGAACACTTTGAATGTGAATCTTATATCTTTTAAATATACATGCTATAGACGACAAGGAAGTCACAAAGGATGAGCAATTTGTCGATCAACGTTTGAATAACACGCTACACATTTATGGGGGCCGCGGTGCTCCGACTCGCCGACGCCGCTGAGCAGGACTCACCATCACCGCTGAGCAGGACTCACCATCACCGCTGAGCAGGACTCACCAACACCGCTGAGCAGGACTCGCCAACACCGCTGAGCAGACCGCTGAGCAGGACTCACCAACACCGCTGAGCAGAACTCACCAACACCGCTGAGCAGAACTCACCAACACCGCTGAGCAGGACTCACCAACACCGATGAGCAGGACTCACCAACATCTCTGAGCAGGACACACCAACACCGCTGAGCAGGACTCACTAACACCACTGAGCAGGACTCACCAACACCGCTGAGCAGGACTCACCAACACCGCTGAGCAGGACTCACCAACACCGCTGAGCATGACTCACCAACACCGCTGAGTATGACTCACCATCACCGCTGAGTAGGACTCACCAACAACTCTGAGCAGGACTCACCAACACCGCTGAGCAGGACTCACCAACACTGCTGAGCAGGACTCACCAACACCGCTGAGCAGCACTCACCAACACCGCTGAGCAGGACTCACCAACACCTCTGAGCAGGACTCACCAACACCGCAGAGCAGGACTCACCAACACCTCTGAGCAGGACTCACCAACACCGCTGAGCAGGACTCACCAACACCGCTGAGGAGGCCGGGTTGCTTGCTGAAGGGAGGCGGTGAAGAGAAAGCATCTCCTGCAGGAGGGGAAGGAGGGGGAGAAGGTCTTCTGAGGGCGCTGGTGTCTCCGCCGGTCGCGTCTGTCAGGAATACGTTCACGTGACTTTAGAATCTCAATACCAAGTCACTTGATGCACGTCAATTACAGAGAACTGTTATTTGATGAATATCACTTATTACATGAAAAATCTTTTGATGAATATTATTCACGTGCAGAGAGCAGCAGCTTCATGGACATCATTCGTAATTATTAGAACGACTCGACCGGAAATATGGCTGGAACAAAAATAATTATTGAAACAACAAAAATACAATTATTGTTATTACACAACATTAAAACATTTATTATACAACATTAATATACAATTATAATTATTGTTCAGTATCACGAATGTTCTCACCTCTGTTCCGCCAGAGAAGTTTTGGCATCTTCTCTGCGTGCAAATCAACTGCACGATGGCATCAACAGCTCACACATTTATTGATCATACAGATTATTATTTTTTCTGATCGGAAAGTGGCACCCAGCACTCTGGCACTTAAGAACTGTTAACCAATATTTATTCCTCATCATTTACTTAAATATATTCCAGTTTGCTCACGAGCATATATATGAACGCTGACGACAGCGTCAACCGATGTTGTTATTTTCATCAATGAATGGATTGCCCACAAAGAGAAGCAGCAATAGGATAACAATGATCACAATAAACATGTTTTGTATCCATATTTAAAAGAATTGCATTGTCACGCAGTTCAAGAAACCCGATTTGATCTAACACTGTCTTAATTATAAAATCAAAAGTTCTGCGCACTGACTGCGGAAAGATTTAAATTTCCCGTTCAAATGAAATTCGAAAGTAACTGTCTTATCAATAATTACCAGATTATCATCTTGAAATTTGAAGGTAGCGCAATTTATCGGTATTATCCAGATTATTATCATGGAATTTGAAGGTCACCCAATTTTTCGGTATTATAAACAGTATTATCTATTGATGAAGCATTGATCAACTTTTACTCAATTCATATTTAAAAAACTTCTGTTAGCAATTACAGGAAACTCCCTCGTGAGAAAATTTGTTCGTTCTTCCACAGCATTGGCGTAAAATCTTTACCTAGTGATCCATTATTTATGTTATTATCTTCATTTACAAGACATAATGGACAATGAAATCACGTACTAGGTGCTACATGTTCTCTACCGAAGGGTCAGTGAACGTAAATCATAAATAATCAGCCCACATGCATAAGTGCTCAAATATAAGATAATAACGGTACGTGTGTCGTAATGTGAATGTTTAAGAGTGAGTCGCACATGCAGTCTTATTGAGAACACAATTGAACTCCTTCCGCTCGCAGCAAGCGTGATCGATGTCTCGAGATACGCTGCACGCCACGTATCAATGATGCACAGCCTGGCCTGCGCTCCGGTGACGAAACTAACGTCGATAAACGTATTAAGTCAAAGACATACACGCCTTACTTTAGTTGAGATTTAATGCTCATAATGTAACGTTGTAAACACTTTTGAAGCCTCAATTGCTGTCATCGCAACGGGAATAAGGCTGTCATCATTTTAACTTCCAAATCGCTGGTGAGGATACAGGCTATGAACGTTTACCGACATTGGGAAATGCGATGTTTTAGAGTTTGATATGGCAACTTAATACACGCAAGATATGCCAGTAGCAATATTAAACAGCTTTAATTTATTTATAAAGAAAAAATTTAGGCTAGTGCATATTTGTATTTGAAAAAAAAAATATATATATATATATATATATATATATATTTAAATTTTGAAAATATGAAGATCTTTAAAGAAACTCACTAATCGGTTATTCAGGTTCGAAGAATTGTCTGCTCAGTGTTTTCTTTTTTTTGCGAGTATCTTGAATTATCGATCACAGAACTCGATTTTTAAAGAACACGGTTATCATGTTGACATAAGACGAGATACTAGATAAAATCTAATATTTTGCTCGAATTTTTGCACACAACCGTCTTAAGCAGATTATAATATGCTTTTAAAAATTACTTTTTAAAGACAACACTATTGAACAGTCCAGTGTCTTGGATGTTACACATGTACAATAAATTTCTAATTTTATTTTCAAATATTGAAAGAAATTATTTATCAAAATTTTTGTAAACTATCAAAATTGTTTATTCTGTCAACTGATTCGTGCAATTGTGCTTTATGCAATTGTGCAAAATTTCAGATCGATTGGACAGGTCAAATTGTGTCATATATGGATTATATGATTTGTAGCATACGAAATTATTTTTAAATTTTTTAAAAATGAAAACAATTTTAAGTTATAAAATTTTCTATTCTGTCAATTGATTCATGCATTGTCTCCAACTTTACGCAAGTGTGCAAAATTTCAGAACGATTGGACAGGTAGAAGTGTGTCAAATATCGATAATAAGATTTGTAGCTGACAAAATTATTTTAAATATTTTTAATATTGAAATTTTTTTTATTCCTAAAATAATTTATTCTGTCAATTGATTCATGCATTGTCCCCAACTTTACGCAAATGTGCCAAATTTCAGATAGATTGGGCAAGTAGAAGTGTGTTAAATATCGGTTATGTGTTTACTGAGCAGGTTATGTGTCGGCTGCCTGGAAAATGAGCCAGTTCACGGGAAAACTTCTATTTTTTAGTTTCAAGCTGACGGTGATTCAAATGATTTTTAGATTCAAGCTGACGGTGATTCAAATGATTTTTTTTTTAATTTTCTTTATTCTGGATAGTCGATGGTTCTCAGAGCTCAATGATTTCAAATAATAAAGCTTATTTACACAGACAGAAATGTTTGCCTTTGTTTGCAGTAATGAAAAAAGATGCCAGCATGCAATACATAACAATTATCGTGGCAACGAAAATTCATTTAGGAATGCTCCATTGCGTGGAAATAATATATTTCAAATTATCGGAGTAAAATTCAAGTAATTTAAGGCATTCATCGACAATTTCACGTTGGTTTAGCCTAAACGCTAATATCGACGAAACGTGAGTCGGGAGTCTAACGTGCGTGAGATATTTGATTTGTTGTTTGTCACCGACAGCCGACAAGAACTCTATGAAAATCCCAATATTCTCTAAAAAATTATCATGTTACAGAAAATGAGGAACCATATCTCATTGTCGACGACATTGCTCATGTTTTCACACCGTAACAACACGCCACGGTCCCGCAAGCGGCAGAGCGACGACTGAACAACACTCAATACGACGAAGGCAACTTCGCTACTACGTATAACGAACTTCATAGTTCGGCTCAAGTTGGGTACGAAAAGTACGCCGCTTTCCTTATCATTTAGGCAGTTCCTAATTATCCTTATATTTTTTAGGCCAAGCAAATTTGTATATATTTTATTTGCAGTTAATACGTATATTTGGAGCAATGAAACGGCGAGGAGGGGTAATGACAAAAGACTAGTTGGCAGCCGCTCAGTTGTCTAGGAGCGATCGCAACAACATTGCCTGTAACCTCTCCTGGTTGGCCGGCCACCTGCACACGCAAATCGACCCGCATAAAGAAACTATACAAATCGATCTCTTCTTTTAATTCGTGCTGGTCGTTATGAGAATCTCTTGACAAACGTCAACAATTATATTATGTACAATATTCTAAGTGCAACATGATCCACAATATGAGGAACTAAAAATTAATTTTTACACTGGGAAATGATCAGAAACAAGGCCGGACCAAATATCAACCTTCGAGAAATTTGTGAGCTGCAAATGTTACGACACAATCAAACAAGAATGTTCTAATAAAACTCTTTATTAAGCAATACAAAACCATGGCTTAAACACTAATACTCTGCGCCTTCCAAACGAAATGAACAGCTTATCTTCACATCCATGTTGCTCAAATGTTATTAAAAACATAACTTCGTTTACAAGAAAATAAATCAATTTGGTGGATGGCAGACACTGAAAATCTGGTAAATATAATTCCGCACTTTTAGTCAAAAGTTTTCAGACGATGAAAAAATAATATTAAACTGATGCGAAAGAGTGAAAATTTTTCGTTATTGCTGTTGAAGATGGTGCGTTAATGATACGAAACAAAGAATATAAGAAAAGTTACAGCCAACTTTACTACTTTAGGACTGGCCAAAAAATGTTCTAACTACCGTAGAAATAAACATTACGAGGCCTCAAGCCTAATGCAGCAAACAGATAATAAAATAAAAAATAAAAAACCTTTAAAAATCATAAATACTTCTTACGTACTACGGAGATGAAAGTCAGACAAAAAAAAAAATCAGAAAAAGGCAGACTCTACAAATGGTCAATAATAGACTAACAAGAAATGTTTAGTTCCGCGTGTAACAGACATGTTCAAAAATGCTCTCTCTTAAGATGGTAAAATATATATATATTTCTAATGTATGCAAGTTACCCAGACGCTAATTAGATCAAATACTCGTTATTTCTGTTCCAGGGCTTCGGAGAGAAACACTTAAGTACCAACAGCATAAGTTCAATGAAGTATTTTCCCAATACCTGCGAGCCGCAACGCTTAAAAAAGTCTTTTAAGGCTCATTGAAAAATATCGAAAGAATAATGATTGTTGCAGCGTAAAAAACCATACAAAACTAAGTATCCTGGAAATATCCTGCCAGCTTCAAGTGACGCATCGAATGTCCGATTATCAAACTAAAAAATAGAAGACTCTGATGGAGCCTGTAACCTAAAAATAGCTGCTGAGAGCAAGACGGAACAAACAGTGAGAACATATAAACAGCACCGTCCAGCAGAGTTCATGATGGACAACTAATAGATGGAATCGTACAGTAATAGTTGAGGTAAGCCTAAATAAAAATATCCTTGAAATTACTCAAACAAGTAATTTCTAATGTCAATTTGTCAAGAACAAATACCTAGTTGCAGTCTAAACGATCGCCGTTGAACACAAAGATACAACAACATAAAGGTCCATTGATATCATACAAAGAAAGTCTTTCATTATACTCCAAAGCACAAAATTTAATTTGATAGAACTGCTCTCTTCAGGGCAGGGGAGATGATCAGCCGATTATTTCAATCTAAATATTTAAACGCTCTCAAACTAATCCTGGGAATGATGAATCCAGTGATTTGAATTAAGTACTTCAGCTTCGGAAAACATCTTCGTCAGAGTTAGTTCTGAATATTTTCTTCAAGAAGGTCGTTCACCACATCGAGAATCTGAGATGCCCTGCAAAAAAATGTCACGGATGACGTTAATCACAATTACTTAAACAAACAGCATAACAAGATTCAAACTTTATCGGTCAAGTCAGCTAAATTTTCTAATTGTTAAATAATTGCGTGTTTGCACACAGAAAAGCGTAGATCCATTTAATGCTACTGTAAATATATCAAAGATACTCAATATAACCGAGGCTCAACTAATGCACCCACAAACTGGATACCTCGCATATGCTTGGTCGCGATATATACTAGCATATACACGTGATGGACGAGGGATAAACCCACATGGCGTATACTAAATAAAGTAAGAGCAGGAACACAAGCTAAGAACTCATTCGCGCTCCAGCAGTTTCAGCTTCATAAGTATTTTCATACTTCTTTATACACTTCACTGCCTCATTCAAGTTGTAATTCGAGGAAAATTTTTCCGATGATCCTTCTGGCCGACGAAGATCTATCGTCACTGTACACGACAGATCTATCGTGAATGTTTAAACGCTTAACCAACGTAGATTCAACCTAAGATGCCTGGCAGGCAGGATTTCACCTGGTGTTGACATCCTGCACGAAGGAGCCAAGCAAGTCACGCAGGAGTAGCAGTTGGCCGCGACGCAAGCTACCCGCTTGACCGCGCGATGGCGGCAGCTCGAGTGCACCAAGCAGGTCGTCTCGTAGGGAACCATCGCACAACTCATCAGCAGCAGATCCGAACAAAACTCGACCGTCCATCCGCTTTGGAGTCGCGTTCTCCTGAAATAATGAAAGTTAATAGAGACTAACTAAGCTTAACTTCACAATTTCAACAGTTTACTCTGGAAAGAATAATTAAAAATTTTAATACAAAATAAAGTATTAAAAATGAACTCGTGGGAAATCCTACAAAAGGTAACATCAAATACCCTGATATTATGATTTATGAGTGTTGCACTTTCAACCGAATATTGACAAGGCGTCAATTTCCCTCACCTGATTAGTGTTAAGTCGGGTAACATCTGAATAAGCAGCCGTCGCTGGGGGATGAGCAACCACGGGCGCTGGCTGGGCACACTCGAGACTCCAGCGACACCCACTTGAAGTCGATGGCGATATGGCCTTGTCGTGAAGCTGGTCCTCGTGTTCAGCTGAAGCAGGGGCGTTCTGCACCGACTTTCTCTTACTCGCAATCGATTCATAATTTTCTACTTTTTTATCAGAGTTATTGTCTAATGTCAATGGGTTTCCGGAGCATGACGCATAGATAGATGAAGGTTCATTATTAAAATTAACTTTGGAACGACAACCAAGACCAGAAGATTGCTTAATCTCTACAGACTTGTTTTTATCATCAACATTTTCCTGGCAGATGTCGTCAAACAGAATGGCCTCTGGAGGGATTTTTTCCGCATGAGGCAAAGCAGTTCGTATCTTGATCCTCGTCTTGCGAGTGGGTGATGCAGCAGAAGAGGTGTCAGAAGAATGAACATCAGGAATCATGCCATCAGAGACTTGTATCACGTCGTAGGTGCACGCATCAAATTTCACTTTTAACTGACTGGGGTTCTGTATAGATGTAAAGGCTGCAACGCCGTCACATGAAGATTGGTCTTGGTTCTCGTTGGCAGCCAAATTCGGAGAGGCGCCGCAAGCACCAGGTAAGAAGGCAACCTTTCGGTTGTTTCCTCCTTCTCGAACGTCATCGAGGTGAGTGCTCTCGAGCGGACCATTGCTGTTCCCGTTGCCTCGTGACACACCAATCGAGCTGATTTCTCCTGAGGCAATCAACGTTGATGGAGACACGGAGGACGGAGTGTTTGGAGGAACTTGAAGATGTCTCCGTCGAGCTGCCTCAGGATGGCCAATATTCTTAATTGGCGCATTATCTGGGCGCTGGACACTAGGTAAAACATTTTCAAGTAACTTTACCAACTTTTCGGCTTGAGGCAATTGCACGCTGTCCTGAAAATCATCCGAGACCTTTGCAGCTGAATGTACTTTGATGATACTTTCATCAGTTATATCTGTATCTTTCAGATTCTCTTTGTTATTCTTATCAGTTAAGTTTTTATTCACACCAAGTTCGTCAGAAATCACAAAGGGTTTTTGAACTGGAGAAATTTGTGGATCCCAAATAAGCTTTTCTTCCTCGCATTCGAAAATTTTCAGCGACAAGTCAGCGGGACTGGGGCTGGCGTCCCGTAAAACTTCAATAGAAGATCTTTCTTGCAAGGTCTTGTCTGCCCAGCTTCTTTCGCTAGGCTGCGAGACTTCCATCAATTTATTCTTAGTCACCTCAGAGGAGTTATCAGTTAGCTTATCGGCAACAGGAAATGAACATTTGTAAGACTTGCCCATTTTCGCTGACCTTGGAGCATTCCTTTTAGGGACTTTCTCTGAATTTTCTTTTTCACATTCTTTCTTTGCAAGACGTGGATAGAAAGTTATTTCTTCTTCGGAAGTTGATGATACGGCATATAGAGATGAATTCTTACGGCGTTTGTTCACCTCCTGGCCTTGACGCGTCGGCCACTTTCGGAGCGTTTTATTCTCTTGGCGCGTCGAATCCTCACGACGCGACGGATTCTTACACCTCTTCTCGGAAAATCGTGTTCTCGGTCGGTTTAACTGTGACGCTTGACTCTCATTTCCACTTGAAGAATGTTTCTCTATTGTGGATTTACGGTGTATTTTTAGATAGCTTTTCCCAACGTATTTCTTAGAATAGAGGCTCATGTCCTTGCGTTTACCGCAAAACCAGCTCCGGCCGCTGGAAGAATCAACGTCGGAGAAGATAGAGGCGTGATGAGCCTCTCTGTCCCCCGCGGATAGACGAGTGTCATCCGAGTCGAAGAAAAGGCCCTTATTTTCAGAGAAATTTCCACTGTTACGCTTTTCAGATGCAAGCCGAGTAGATCGCCTTCCATGTGCCCTCCCTGTAGCAGAAAGATCGTCTAGTGGTTCAGGGGAAAACTTAACCTCATCGGCATCCCTCTTGAAAAATTTTTTCTTTCTCACACTTCTAGGCCGAGATGAAGGGGGAGATTTCACCGCGCTAAATGTTTGGGACGATTCATTGGCGACGAAGGCAGAACTGTTAGCGGTAGCCTGTGCTTTCACAATACCAGGTAATTCTTTGCGTGAGGTATGTATTTCATGCTTGCGACTGTGTTGCAACTCAGTTTCCTGTAAATTATGCGACGATTCTTCGTTTAGGCTGCTCCCGATGGGCGCTATGCCGCTCAACATGAGCGATGCTTCAGAGCGGTGGTACACTTTATCAATACTGTCCACAGGCGGAATTTCTTCCAAAATTGAGGTGGAGGAGTCGAAGAGCTTTTTCTTGCAGCCACGAGATCTAGTGCTAGGCAGCGTCGTTAGCTTAAACGGCGCCTTCAGCTTTTCGGTAACCCCCTCAGCCCGTTTGTAATGGGCGGGTAGCTCATGCGTGGCTCGTTTAGCTTTTTTTCTACGTCCGCCACTGCTACTAGTGGCGTCACTGAATTTAAGGCTTGGCTTTTCAAATTTTCGTTTCTTGCGACGAACAATTGGAGATTCGTAAATATGCACGTCGCTGTAAACGTCATGTAAACTTGAATCGCTTGAATAATTCGAGCCGAATAATTCGGTTGATTTTTTTGAAATTTCTATGGCGTCATTTAAGTCATGGTCAAGATTTTGCTCAAAAATATCTATGGGGTGAGAAAGAGACAAATGGACTTGTCGCACCGGGCTTGAATCACCAGCCACTGCGACAGGAGCCGTGGACTTGGATTCGAGACTTTCTTCATTTTGGCGAACTCCAGTGTCGAGGTTAGTGATAGCTTTAGGCGAACAAAGAACTTCCGTCAGTCGACTCAATTCCACATCCCTTTTAACGGAACTTGTTTCCAACACAGGAACAGACTTGTTTTCACATTCGGCATCAGCCATAGCGAATTCGTCAATTCTTTCCTGGAAGATCAAAGAGTCAGATAACTCACCTACGTCGCCTACATTATCCATTAAAGCGATGCCAGCATTAGAAATAATAGTTCGAGACTCAGCCATGCTCGCGTCAACAGACGGCAGTGCTTGCGCACTTTCTTGAGACAGTAGCCTTGCATTGATATCTTCTGAAATTTCCATGTTTTGTATTTTGGAACCAGCCTCCACTTGACTTGTTTGCTTGGCGCTATTAATTTTGCAATTTGCTTCATTTGAAATTACTATTGCATTTTCCACGTTGGACATTTCGATCGGTTTAAGCTGATATTCCGTAACAGATTTTTCCAGAAGCGATAACATCTGAGATGTGGACAAGATGGTGGCCGCCACTACAGGACTCCGCTCAGCCTCCTCAGTCTTGTCGTGGACAGCTGGTGAAGGATAGCTAACATTAACCGGGTCAGTTATGGAGCAATTTTCAACAGGGCTCTGCAGTTTTGAGCAGTCGTGAGACACAAGGAGAGTGTCATATACGATTGTGTTGCATGTAGCTCCAGTAAACGAATTAACTTCAGTATCCCTAATTACGATGGGGTCCTCAGCCTGAGAAGGCTGCACGACTGCAGGACTAGACTCGAACTTTTTTGCTTGGTCTTCAATGGCCCTGGGTGATTCGAGAGGACGCAGTGCAACGTACGCAAGTAATATCTTCGGGTCAGTTGTCTCCGAGACGGATTTATCAACCTTCTTCGTGGCTTTGCTGTCATCACCAGGCGAAATATCCTTACTAACTCGTTTAAGTTCACATCTGTTTTCACGAGTATCATCGAGGCAGTTGGAAGCTTCGAGAGACGAGTCCCGAGGATGATTAGGAGTGCGCATACAGAACACGTCGGCATCGTACTTGCATTTCTTGGGCATCGGTTCAAATGTCAACTTTGAAGCTGGGAATTTATTCATGCTACGATTGTGATGCGATATAGTGGAATTAGCAGCCCCATTTTTAGCTTTTAAAGTCCTCTTAGACGAACGGGTGGTAATGTTCTCCAAAGATTTCTGAGGGGATGCTAACGGAGATTCCTTGTCTTTGATAATTTGTGGAGGAGTGAGACAGGTCTGGTTTTGGCCCACTGGTGATTCAGGGGATTCAGGGACCGACATTTCCCCACGATCATGACCACTGATGAGATCAGAAGCAGTTTGCTTATCTCCCGCACATTGAACAGAGATATCAGGGCCAATGAGGACAGAATTCCCGTCTTCACACACTCTAACTGCGGGTGACAGAGCGCTTGATGCAGAAAGGCCTTCAGAGTTTTTTAATTCTGAATTATCCTCATCTAATGTTCCACAACCATCATGATTCTTGGCATCCGAGACCAGGAACACCGGAGCAGAGGACACATTCACTGTGTTCGTTGTGGCATTCTGATTCTCAGAAACACGTGGTTTTGTTGTTTTCACTTCGTTGTCGTTCGCATGCATCATTGGAATTGAACATGCAGAAATTATGTCCGATTCCACGTCCTCGCTGCGTGCTTTGGTTAATTTTCTCTTCAGAGAGAGTGTGCCTCTGCGTCCGGTCGGCACGAAAGATTGGCCACCAGCTTCAGGCACCGAGCTCGGCACAATATCATCTTCGAAGCGTTGATCTACATCTGCAGCCCGTTGAGAATCAACAAGTTTTATATTGTCGTTCAGAAGAACATCATTGGAAGGTATTAGTCCTGGAACGTCCACTTGATTCTCGTGAAGTTGCTCGCTTTCTCTGCCGCAGTTTAGTTCCTTTTGGGAATAAGACGCAATTGGTAAGGCATGTCCAGGTCCTTCATGAGAAATTACGGTCTTCGGAAGATGAGAAGAGGTTGGCATGGACGAAGGATCATTAGAAACGCTCACGGCAATCTTGACTTGTTCAGGAGAGGAAGAGTCAGGGTAGATGGTTTTACTTGACCCTGATCCTCCACTGCTAATTAGGCGGCCGGAGTGTGAACGACAGGATGTGGTGCCAACCATACTCAATTTATCGAATGCAGCTAAATTTACATCAGTTGATTTGTAAGCAGAGCGAGGCGTGCAATTGATTCTTACTTCGCCAGATTCAACGTTCTTGGCGACAGCATCCTCTAACAACGCGTCAACAGGTGGAGTTTCGGGTATGATTTGCTGGTCAATTGAGGGACTGACACCATTGACTTCAGTTTGATTCTTACTCCGCTGAGAAGCTCCTGTTAGATCCACATGAGATAGCGAAGAAGGTTGTGTTGCTGAAAACGCGCGAGAAGATAGCGCTCCATTCTTGAGCGACGAAGGGACGAAATCATCAGATTGCGTTTCGACAGGCGATAAGCTTGTTTTATCTGACAACAAAACGACTTATGTTAAAAATAAAAGATTTAGGAGAAGGCTTACATTAATTTGGATTTGAAGAAACAGTCTATTTGATGATCAACAACATAGGTAGCGATCAAGAACAACGTACAAAAAAGGATAAAAAAATACTATAACCAATAAAAATTGTAGGTAAGTTAAATTAGAAATAACATTATCAGCAGATGATACCGAGTTTTTAGTTCAATGCAAAGTTGCAAGATATTCACCAATGACGCGGCGACGCACGAGGTTGTTGCTGAGCGAAGCCTTGGCTTGATGAGAGGACGCCACTTGGGGGGGAGTAATCGTGCCAGTTATTTGTCCTGGAATGAGCGAAGATATTAATCATATAATCTGCGCACTTCTTCAAAACTTTCGAATAAATTTGAAATATTTATATTCTATTTATTGTGACGTCAAAAAAAGACACAAGTATACTTCTATGGCAAGACTAAAAAACCGAACTGAGGTCAGATGCATTCAACCATTCGTGATAGTAATAAGCGTGGAAATAAATAAACACAGACATACACTCACAGCTTGGTCACATCAGGTAGTAAAATTTAGCGCCAAACATTAAATTCAATAAACCGAAACCCAAAAAATTTAGTACTATCTGTATTTTGTGTAGAAAATCAGCGCAAATTATAATTCATCATTGGTTAATCGACATGATCCGGAAAAGAAAAGACAACAATCAACACATTCACATTCCAAAAGCCAAATGTGCCAACAGTGAGTCGATCACAAGGCCACTCTCAGGAAGAAGGGTTTTTTATCGAAAGCAAATCTGTAGCAAGCACAAGAACCTGTAAAACCAACTCACGTTTGTTTTGTCTATGGCCAGTAGCTGTAATTGAAATTTTAAATTTTACTATGTAAATTTTTGTTCAAGTCATTCATTTGAACTCAACGGTTTTTCCTTCCGTTCAAATGTTGATGCAGCTACAACATAAAGGTAATTCACAATTGTGCAAATATTTCAAAAGCTCGCTAAATTGTGCACTGTGGTCGGCTGAAATCTACTTGCCTTGAAAAATAGGAGCTTCACGCTGTCGGCTAACTGAAGGTCGTTTTCTTGCACCGACAGAACTTCCTTTGCTCTTTGGGAGAGATAAAGTAATTAATTTTGGAGACACGTTTGAAATGAGAAAAATTGGTTAATGAATTTGCTAGATCCTCACATAAATTGAGCAACAAAATAAATCTTATTTCGAAAAAAATTTTTAACACAAGATATGTCTCTAAAAATGATAAATAAATATTAACAGAAATTAGTTTACAAATTAGCACATTCTTTTAATGAAACCAATACGTAACATTACTGTATAGTATATGAGAATCACTCGTATAACTTGAATGTAATTACTCGTTGACGGCGGCTGAGTACAAGGCCGGGGCTGGAGTCCGCACGGTCGCTGGAGTTGCTGGTCTCGGTGCGGCTGGAGTGAGCGCGCATGCGGGACACTCTAGCAAAGCTGTGTGTCACTGAGACTTTGCCACGCGTCAGTGACGCCGGAGGTGTGGCGGCACTTGGAGTATGCACGCCTTTAGGCGTCATAAGCACTATCTGAAAAAAAAAATCAATCAAAGTAAATAAAGGAATTCAATACTTGGAAAAAATTTTTCATTAGAATAATTTAACTTATCTTAATAGCTTTGGGCAGGTAAAGTAACCAAAGTAGCTACTGGTTTTCTCAAATGAGCTTGCTGGTATTAGATCCAAGGATGAGCAAACAATTATTACACTCATTGGGACAAGTCTCATAGTTTTCATTGCATTTTCATTCTTTCTGCAGTCACGAATATGTAGAGAATTCAAATGAGTAAGTTACCTGCAAGTTAGAACCAAAAAGTTTAGAAGCGACGGTGACCATATCAGGCAGTGGAGGCTCAAACACCAGACGGAAGACAGGATTTGGATCATGGATGTCTTCGGCTGAGTTGTCCTGGTGCACACACGTACGTCATGAGTACGAAGAAACAAGAGAAACAATGCCGAGGAAAGTGAACTTCAAAATTTTGATCAGGCAACCTAATTCTGAATTATACTACCTAAAAGAGGAAAATCAGCTGTGAAACAAATGGTTGGATCTACCTAGATGTGGACCACTACACACCAGAGAACTGGCGCTCGGAGGTAAAGTTAAATATTCTCTTTGGAATGAGAAGAATTAACTTGAGACTCAACTTGATAAGATGAATGAACTTCGAACCAAATGCATGTGTCAGCCTATATGTGGACCACTACACACCTGAGAAGTGACACTCGGAGGTGAAGAGAAATAGTCCCGGGCAGGCTTGCTCAGCATGAGGCACAGAGTATCAGAGTGAAGTGTGCGCTGCAAAGTGCCTCGCAGCACATCTGTAGTGTACACAATGACAGTTTCCCACACTCGATCGGGGGAGGGTTTCTCCGAGTCGGCGGTGTCACAGAGCACTGAGACGGACTCACTACCCAGGTTGAAGTCCACCCACAATTGTTCATAGGAGGTGGCATTTGGTTTGACAATTTTGAGGCAGCCTAAAGTGACGCTTGTCGCCGCATACGTGTGCACAAGGCGGGAAGGTCCCAGAAAGTTGTTGAATGCGTTTAAAAAACGGCGACAGTCCTGCAATACCGATGCAAGTAAGTGCAGCACAAAATCAAACTATTGCATTCTTATCAACTGCATACATGAGGTTAATCTAATAATTTATTAATTACTACAAAAAGTAAATTCATTATTGAGAATCGAAAAGAAAAACATGTTCTGAGCTTTAGTACATTACGTATATCCTTGCTCAACCACAATGGACTGCTTTGGACCTTATAAATAAGGTTGTCACAATTAACGGTCACATCGTCTGACAAAATATACAAGGAACGCCTTAAAACTATGCAACAAGATACCATTCCAAATTCAAGATCAAAATGAGATTAAACAATACGAGGCCCGTGAAAGCACAAAAAAACATTAAGAGATATACGCAGGAATTTCACACTACTAACATAAGCTGTAACATCAATAGATCTATTCAAAGATAGTTTAAACTTGCCGGATCAAAGTCTACAATGCGTGTGAAGAGTGCTTGGAGAGTGCAGGGCAACTGAGGGAACCAACGAGTGACGTTGGCGCTGCGCTCACTACAGCCGCTCAGGCGGAAGATCGACTCTACCAAGCTCGTCTGGAAGTCGTAGTCGCCCACTTGCTCGAGAGTTGCAGGCAGCTTGTTGCTTTACAGTACAAAGAATTACAACGACATCTTGCAGCAAAAAAATGGTAATGCACGTCTGAATCACGGTTATCTTCAATGCAGAATAAGTGAATTACATAAATAAAACAATAAATAACTTCCACAATACAAATCACATGAAACAAAAAGCAAAGGAAAAGAAAGCATTCTTGGACAACAAAAACTGTGAGATACTGCAAATGTGCTTACAAAGCATTTCTGTTAGAGCTTCGGAACATGCCCCGCCCCCGGGATGAGCAGCGCTCTAGAAGGCCGTTGAGCGCCTTACATCGGATCAAGCGAAACAGATTACACAGAGATGGCGACAGGGCTGACTTGAAGAGACGAGGGCCCAGGCAAGTAAGCAAGTGGTCAGTCGAGCCAGGCAGAGTCTGCACCAATACCTGTGAAGTAACAGTAGTGAGAAATTCAAAAAAATCCCCTATAATGTGCCGAACTCAAGTAGTGACCTCAATGGTGTCAATAAAGTAATATTTGTATATGAACACACACGAATTTATGATACAATCTATTGTGAACTTAGCACTTGAAAAGCTTCTGAAAAGCTAACCAGACACACTTTTCTTCAGCCTTATTTTAAAAATGATTGTTCATCTCTCACAAAATAGCCCATGTTCATGCATGCAAGTTGATCTTGGTCAGAATCAAATTATAAGCAATATATAATCAATGGAAACATCTCACCAAGTGCTGCTGATGCAGACTCTCCCAGAAATTGACAACAATCTGAGTGTAGGGATGAGACAGAGGCTGTTCACCAGGCACATGTTTAACTTTCTCAGCCAGGTCCTGTAGTGTCATATAAGTCCGCAACAAATGACTTTGTTCTTCATTCCCTAATTTTTCAACAGCATCCATCAAGATGTTAATGAGCATCAGGCCAGCATCCAGATCAGTTTCTTCCTTTGCCTATTGTTAAAACAGACAAAAATTTAAATTAAGAAATTAAGAAGAGATTCATTACAGCATATCATATAGTACTCATGAATACAATTTCATGACAGAATTATTATTTGCTCCTTGTTGTGGATCTATACATGTCATGAAAAATACTGAAAATCATTATTGCTCATGAGAAATTGACTATATAAATTAGATAGAGCAAAATGGTGCCTTTCTATAAGTTTGCAGGCCAAATTCAAGTAAATTCATTTATAAAATATGCAATTTTTTTGCATTTAAATCAAAAGCAGCCAGAGGAAGAGAAGAGAATTAGGTGAATAACAAACCAGCTCAGCAGCACTCAATAAGGCTCCCAGCATCTGTTGCGTCCATCCTTTGCTGATGAGTTTCATCAACTTCTTCAGGAGCTTCTTGCTGCTGAGAGGAGTGGCAGCTCCACCCTCACTGCTATCATCTGACACAATGTTGCTCATGTGTATACCTTGCAGATCTTGAGTTGCACCATAAACATTTGTACAAGCCATGGTGCAGTTATTTGCTGCTTAGCTAGTTTTAACCCTAATATAAATTCAAATTCAGATCAGTTCTATTTCCTGAAAAAGTGGATAATTTTAAAATGTATTTATGTAAAAATATTAACCTTCTTAATCTCAGCTTTGAATCGAACTGTACCTACTACATGCAAGGTGAATTATTAATATCAAATATGTAGAAGCTTCCAAATATCAGTTACCCAAAGACAATATCAAGTGTCAGGATGTTTCTAAGTATGCATAAAAAAACTACATTCTTGCAAAAAAATGTGTTGATGACAGATGATGAGAGAATATATAAGTACTGATCAGCTGGAGGTGAGGCAAGATTACTAGGCAGTTTTTCAATTGTTTTGCCATTAGGCCCATTGTTTTTAGTCAGCAATAAGACTAATGGCAAAATTATAAACAACAATATAGGTTAGTTTTTTAAATTTACTTTAAAAAATGTAGATTATTTAATAAAAATGTTTAAAAATTCACCTCTCTGCCGCATGCATGGTGGAATTATACAGATTTGAACCGAACCACAACAAATTGCAATAAACCATTAGTATGTCCAAAACAGCAAAAAGGATCCAGGAGGGGGCGTATAAAACATGTACATGTACACACACAATTTTGGATCAGAAGACCTAAAACCAGACTTTGTAGCAACTGCATACATAAATATATAAATATATATATATATATTATTTATTAGCTTCTTGTTGATTTTTTCAATAAGTCGTACCTACTAAATTCTTCGTAGGTGTTGGAAGATTGAAAATTAAATTACCGATAGACATTTTTAATATTGAACGTTTCGAATGTACATTGCCTCTGACTTCACACAAGTGTGCAAATTTTCAGATAAATTGGACAGGTAAAAGTGTGTCAAATGTCAGTTATAAGATTTGTAGCTGACAAAATTATTTTTCCAATATTTTTAATATTAAAAAAATTTAAATTTTAAAATTCATTTATATTGTCATTTGATTCATGCATTGTCTCCAACTTTACGCAAGTGTGCAAATTTTCAGATCGATAGGATAAGTATAAGTGTGTTAAATTTTGATTATTAGATTTGTAGCAGATCTCGACAGACAGACAGACAAACAACAAGATGTGCAGTTAAAGAGAAGTGTTGTAAAAACCAACATTAATCTTAAAAAAATTATTAGAATTATATTTATACACAGTATGTTTTTTGAGACTATAACTGAAGTGTGTGAAATGAGGGAGCCAAGCCATAGACTTTTGTCAGTTTTTTCACATTGCCAGTTGATATATCAGACACTTAAATAGACTCAACTCTTAATAAGATTCAGAAGAGAAGGCTGGCAATGAAGACAGAAAATCTAACCATCAAGGTTGAATGTCCATAATATTTCTATATTTTGTATTTATAAGTCAATTATCAATGTGCATCTTGATCTAATTAAAGTCCTCTCCCATTTGTCCCATGCACTCATTATGGAACAGAATTTATACTAAGTATTACAAGTATTACTTTTCCTATTACACTGAATTTTTTAAGCACATGATTTGTTATTTCTATTTTAATAATTTAGCTTCTTAACTGAAAACTATTAGCATTACAAGCCTTGCAATTTTTGAGTATATAAAGTTATTATTCACTAGTAGTACTAATGAGATTCAGTACAAATTTCACAGTGACAAATGCAATTCTTCAAAATATATGGAGAGAAACCTGAAAAATGCTTTTTTCAGACTATAATAATCCATTGCTTGAGAGTTGAATGACACTTACATGTTATAATTGACAAGTCTTTAACTTCACTTCTTGTTGTTTGTTTTCACTTCCATGGCAATAAACTAAAAAAAACTGCGCTGCATCTTCTCTACGTGGCAACATTTATTTTCGCATCAAATCACCGATATGTGGAACAGCCTCCCCGGGGCCCGATGACATTGTTGGTGCTCCAAGTATGAACACCTTCAAGAACAGACTAGATAAAGCTATGGAAAAATATAAGTTCAGACTTGAAATGCCTAGCACCATATCAAACCTGGTGGAAGACTAGTAGCCATTTCAAACTATTGTCAGTCATGAAAAGATCCGGTCAAATGACACAATTTTAGATCTTCTGTGAACAAGGCACAAAAAGTAAGAATAGGCAACAGGCCACATCAAGCCTACTCTTTAGCGCCGACATCGTTATGTTATGTTGTGTTTAACTCATGACTCTGGGCCACAGCCAGAATAAGATTAACTTGCAGCCCAGCCACATATCTAGGCATTCTGTTCCATGAGTGCATGGGAAAAGTGGGAGAGGAGTTTAGTTAGATCAAGATGAACATTGGTGATCAACATATAAATACAAAATAGATAGGTAAATATTATGGACCTTTCAAATTAAAAAACATTGAAGAATTTTGTCAAAGCAGACTTTTTATAGCACTTCTATTTAACTTCACTTCTTGTTTGTTTGTTTGTCTGCTACAATGCTTCAAATGTTATAATCACTATTTAACACAATTCTACCGGTCCAATCAAACTGAAATTTTGCACACTTGCATAAACTTGGTGACAATGCATGAATCAATTGTCAGAACAAATAATTCAAAAATAATAAAAAATTAGATATTAGAAAAAAATGTTATGAGTAATTTTTTGTATATATTTAAAAATAAAAAATATATTCATTGTAAATTAGTAACATTGGATACTGACTTCTTCAGAAGAGTTGTCTTTAAAAAGTAATTTTTAAATGCATATTATTAGTACAAGATATATACTGGGCCACCCAGCAGGGTGGCCCAGTGGTTAAAGCTCAGAGTACCAAAGATTGGAGCAGAGAGGTGTGGGTTCACTCCCAGCTCTGTGTACCAGTTTCTGGTCAGAATCGACAAGGAGGCTGGGTGGTGGGCAGTTAAGCAAAGAAAATTTGAAGCAGTGAGTTGGGAGTTCAAGCCTGCAACAAGCTGTGGATGTTCTGCAATGTTAAGAATCAACAGGCTTAAGGCCTAGTAAATGCTGAAACTGCTATATTATAAATACTATATATTATTTAGACTCTTCCTCAAGTTCGTTTTTAAGTCCAATAAGTAGACCAGGAAAGCATTATGGATACTACCAGCATTATCATACATAAGAAATTGGGTTAAATCTTGAGTAAATGAGGAAATTAAAAAAAAAATGAACTGGTTCTTAAAAATCTGTGGTTTGTCACTATGCAGTGAACTTCAAAAAAAAAATGAAAATTGGGCATATATAGTCAGATGGGGTAAGACAGGACCAAAATCACTAACATGCATGTAGCACCTATACCATGAATAAATGAAAAACCTCAAACTTACAAAGCAAAAAAAGTGGCCTGTTGCAAAGCAAAAGTGACCGTGTTGGGGTAAGACAGGACCAGCCTCTAACTTCAAGATTTCTAGGTTTTTAATCAAATTAAGGACTTGATATTTAATATTATTCATCTAGAATATTGATTACAATATACAATTCAAATGTGTTAGGTAGCTTATACAGGGTGGGGCAGAACTGATTGAACAGTTTTGAGGCAAAATAAAAGAGTAATGGAGGTACACAAAGAAGAAAGTTTATTTTCCTCAAGATTAGCATAACATACAATTTAAAATACTTATGTTTTGAAAACAATATCAGGAAGATGGGGTTTGTAAGCTGCATCACACTGTTGGAGTCATTCTCAGAAATTTTCTACAGCATGTTCACACTTATGGCAAGGTATGGCCATAACCTCTGCTGCAATAATTCGTTCCCTTAGCTGTGGTAGGGTGTGAGGGCGACTTCTGAACCCCTTTGTTTTAGATGTCCCCAAAGAAAGAAATCTCCAATGCTCAAATCAGGTGACCTCGCAGGCCACTGTAAATCACCCCTCAGAGTCTGGGAACATGCGTTTCAAAAACATTGAGTGACATTTGGGCTGTGTGAGCTGTAGCCCTATCCTGCTTAAACCACATGTCTCCCAATGCTTTATTTTCAATAATGTTTTCTATCATGGGCTGCAAGAAATTTTGCAACATTGCCACATAGCGATCGGAATTCATTGTTACGGTTACTCCCTCCTCTGATAAGACTCCAACAGTGTGTTTCAGCTAACGGCCCCATCTTCCAGATATTGTTTTCAAAACATAAGTATTCTAAATGGTATGTTATGCTAACCTCTAGGAAAATGAATTTTCTTCTTTATGTACCTCCATTACTCTATTATTTTACCTCAAAACTGCTCAAATAGTTTGATACTGCTCAAAATATTTGAATTGTGCACATGTTTATTTCAAACAGTGTTAGCTTTTCTCAAGTCTTGTTTCAAGTCGTATTAGGTTTGTTTGGTTATCGTTCAGTTTATTTTTAGTATTGGTTTATTGGTCTGAATTAAATGGGAACAGTGCAGTCAGTCACTCAGTCACTACTAGTCAGTGTGTATAGAGGGTAGAGACTTCAGACTGGTAGATTTATTGGACATAAAACTAGTAGATTGCTGCGTACTGTGCTATCACCTATCAGCTACCTATCTGTTATGTGACTCTTCAATGTTTAGAAGATCTGCTTTCCTGAAGTGTTTTTGTATATTTAAGCCAGTTAAATGGTCAATATTTAGCTCATTACCTTGCTCCATACAAACTTTACAAAGCTAATGAATAGACTTATCAATAATTGTTTACCCAAAAATCCCTAAGTGGTAAACGCCACCTTGGCCTGTTGGCCATTATTGAAGGCAATAAGTGCCCTTTTTAGCCATCCATTATTATCCATATACTGTTATTGTTAGTAGGCTGATTGCAACATAAAAAATAACACTTCAAATAAACAAAAAATCTAAAAAAAAACAAATAAATAAAAAAAATCATGAAAAAATCAAAAAAACATTGATTTTTTATTTTTTTGATTTTTTTTTAAATAAAAAAATCACCAACCCTGGTATGCATGCCATACGCCAGTCCTTTCTTACCCCATGAAGGCTGTGATCCTGTCTTACCCCATCTGACTATGGAGGCCACTAATGAATCAGACAAAAAAAAAAAAAACTGTTGCTATAAGACATTTTCTCATTTCTAATTCCT